TTTTAGAATTTTTTATACGGTATAGTTAACAATAAGGTTTACAAAAGAACTTATGAATTAAGAGATAACGACCGGTCCTTCTGTGAGAATATGTAGTAATTCAGTTTTAAAAAGATGCAACTCAAAACAATGGCGGATTTTTTGAACATTTTCTAAAATAACTTTAAGTGTATGTAGTAATATTACTGTTTTAAGCTTTAGTTTGTGTAATGTAAATTGTAAAGAACCGTTTAGTAATATATTCTGTCTTTTTATAAGTTATAAATCATAACAGAATAAGAATACCATGCAATCTAAGTGAAATTATTCAAGAAAGAATATATATTATATAATAAGAATTGATAATTTGATAAGAATTGGCTATAACTAAATTTAACTTTTCTAACATGTCTTGAAAATCGTTCTCTAAAAAACGTAACATTCACCGGTCAACGTATCCTCGAAAATGTATGGTCAAGAAAAGTTGAACCAATAATCCTACACGCTTTTCTTCATTTGAAAAATTCATATTTACAATTTTTGTTTATTTTAATTTAGAAAATTTGGATGTGACAGCTTCACATTTATGAGAGCAAAGACGATTAAACTTTTTTCCAAGGCTAACTAAGTAAAATTGTTTAAAAATGATAAGAATTGGCTATAACTCAGTAATTTTTCGAAGAAGACATATTATAGCTTATATCGCTGAGAAGCTTAAAAAATGGCGCTTTTTATGAAGTCGTGGACAACTATGGTTTCTATTTAAAAAAATATATGTTTGTGTCATATGTCAAAAATGACAGGCTTTAGAAAAAAACGCGGGACACAGTCTCATTAAGGATGTGATTATCTATAACTTTTATCTGAAAACTTTTTGTCTAAAATAGCTTATAAAGGAATTAGAGAATATTTTTAAAATAGCCGAAATTTGTTTTTTTCGAAATATCTAGTAAGCCATGAACTTTTTCAAAAATCTGAAAGGCGCATATTTATGACCCCACAAAACTGCAATTCTTTCCTCATTTAACCCACTCTCTATCTCCAGTAGTTTCCGAGATACCCATAGAGAACATCGTAGGAAACCTGTTGAAGAACTGAAGCTTAAACTAAAATATTATTTCAACGCCTACTGTAACGCGATTTTTATTTGATCACACTGGTATATTTAAGGTTTTAGCCTAAAAGACATAACTCAGCTTTATAAAGCTCAATTTAACTGTATTTTATGATAATTACTCTACTTGAAGTACCGGAGTGTAATAAATTTAACTTGATTAATTAATAATATCATATAATTATTACAGTACTATACTAAGGATTAAGAATATAAAAGTTGTACCCAAAAATCCCTTATTATTACTAAACTTTAATCAGACTTGATAATATACCAATAAATCAATCATGTACCTACCAAACGATCGAAAAAAAGGCGTCAACGTTGGCTTGAAAATGAAGATCGTTATAATTTTATATATAAAATTATACGGGGAATGTGATCGCTCACGTGTCATTTCCAAGCCAACATGACGCCGATTTATTACATGACGCCGATCTATCATAGGCATATTTTGTATAAATATATATAGTATAGAGAATAACTAAATTGTGCTTATATAGATATAAATAAAAAAAAATGAATTGGTAAAATGTATAGAGCTTTTTTGTGCCTTGTTTTCCATTAGTTTCAGACATAGTATTATTTATTACATAAAAAAATTGAAAAATATAAAGATATTTGGGATTTATGCACAATGAAAATTTTATAAATTTAAGTTTCTAATTAATTCAACTAAGTTTCAATATTTTAAATAAAGAATTATTTACAAAAAAAAACCTTTACTTACCTCTTAGAAAATCTCGAAAAAACCTGAATAAAAATGGCACAAAACACTAAATCACTGAATCCACGACATCCTGCTATAGTATATTAATTTTTTGAACTAATGGACTCTGTAATATGGAAGGAGTACCAAAGCAGAACCAAAAGGTACTACGGCCGATGGGCAGATGTTTCGCCGGCTACTCTGATTGCTATCTCACAAACCCAATCCGGTTGGGTGATTTTTCTGAAATATTTTCAGCCAGTGCCATCCGCACCAATGTCTGTATACAGCAGGGTTCATTACGGGGATTTCCCGGTTCTGAAAATACCGGGAATTCCCAGTTCTTTCGGGACTTGGTAATAATAATTAAAAACATATTTTTTGGTACGTGCGAAAGACTTTTATCTCTTACTGCTCTTCTGAAGTTATTTTGAAGTTTCTATAATGTTTATTAGCAATTATTGAAGTTTAAATATCTTATTTTATTATTTAGTATAATATTACTAAATGTATTAGTTATTTTTTTGTGTTTTTATAGGCATTTGTATCTTTAATTGAAAATGTTAAGTTTTTTTTTTCAAATTTATAGTTAAGTTGGTTTTGAGGTTGGTTGATGTTGTTTGATGTAATTTCTAAGCTACCTATGTGTTTTTTTTTCGCTTGTGTTCCTGTTTACTTTCTCATGACTTAATAATTTGATATTTTTTCATTTGAAACTCAATTTTTTATCGGTTTTACTGTTGAGAACCATCCCTTTATTGTTACTATTTTTGAATTTGATAATCACTGAAATAAAATATTTTAATAACGTATTCAGTAGAAACTCAAAAATTAATACTATTGGGAACATCCTAAAGTAACAGCGGCCGCACAGAACCGGGCCTCGGTAACAATAATTAAAAAATTATTTCTTTGTTACGTGAGAAAGTCCTTTGATACTTTTTAGCGGTCGAAATTAAACCCTTCTCAATAAGTAATGATGCTATTTTTTATTGTTCTTCCTTCTTTTCTCTTTTGAAGTTGCTATAATATTTATTATGTTATGTTTTAATAGATATTTGCATTTTTAATTCAATATTTTAGGGTTTTTGTCTCAAATTCAGTTAAGTTAGTTTATGTTGTTTGATGTGAAATTTAAGTTACCTATACTTTTTTCTGTACAGGGTGAGTCAAAAATATTAAATATAAAAGTTATAGAGATGGTTAAGATACACATTTTAAAATTATTATACAGTGTACAGGGTACTTCAAAAAAGTGTGGCGACTAAAACATATGTTTTTTTAAATGCAACACCCCATTTTTTATTTTATTTTTAGATTCTGCGAAAAATTCCATAACTTTTTTATATATAATGTTATATACCTAAAATTAATAGTTTTTGTTATATTTAAATTTGTTTAAACAAATGTTAGATTGCAGTGGGTTAAAAATTTGTCAGTGATGGCATTGATTCTGAAGTTGGACAACTAAAATTTGGTAGGAGAATTTTATAGAGATATAGAAAAAGACCTATGTAAAGATATTTTAGTTAGATGTTACAGGGTGTTCAAAATATATTTAGGAATTTCAACTACTTAAAATTAAGGAATTTTAATTTTTTTAAACGGTACACCCTATATATTATCATTTTTTTCTGATAGATTTTACCAAACTTTTCAACTTTTATTAAGAATGTCATATACCTATTTTTTATTAGTTTGCGATTTATTCCAATTTTTTCTATTTTTACCCATATTTTAATACAATTGCGCTATAACATCATAGTTACCATGACAAAAGTAATAATTATCACATTTTCATGTCTGTTAAGCAAGTTAAGAAACAAATCTGAATTTTAGTTTAATTTGTTGTAATAAGTATAAATGGTAGAGATAATAGTTACAGATTTTCTTGAAATGAATTAGTCAATGTAATTGTATATACACGGACAAGCTTAGAAACCCACATTTTTGGTTCAGTACTTATATATTATATAGTACTGCTAAATACTATAAGGATAGATATATATCTAGAAAACATATTCAATGTGCAATGGGACGGTTTCACGGCAGTAGTAATATTGGCTTTTCCATATAATTCCAAGTGTCATCTTTCATAATATAGAAATACACCAAGAAATTCACTACTGCGATTTAGTTTATTTGACTAAAGTTAATTAATTTTAACTAATACCAGCAATTGTAACTAACTATGAAGCTACTTGTTAAAGGTAAGTAATAAATAGTTTTGTTTTGTCATGGTAACTATGATTTTATAGGGCAATTGTATTAAAATTATGGATAAAATAGAAAAAATGGGAATAAATCGCATACTATTAAAATTAATGTTATGATATGACATACTTAATAAAAGTTGAAAGTTTTTAAAATGAGTATCAGAAAAATAAAATACCCTAGGGTGTTTCTTTGTTAAAAAATTTTAGGGGTGATTCCTATGTTTACAAATAAAGGGTAGTTTGCTTTAGTTTAGTTTGTTTAGAAACTCAACCATTAGGGAGATATCGCGTTTACAAAGATGGCGGAAAAATAATGTTTTTATTTTTTATCTTGAAAACGAAAGAGATAGACTAATGAAATTTTATGGAAGCATTACTGTTATGAAAACACACTTTCACGGTAATTTTTCACTTTTTAAAATGAGTGGAAGGGTTGGAAATAAACTACCCCTATCATTTCTTGTTAACGAAATTTAAAGAAAAAATTTTATCTCTTGTGTTTTTTGATAAAACTCACCGATTTGAAATTAAAAAATAAAATGTAAAGCATTACATGTCAGGACAAAAAACATTTTTAGATTAAGAATCTAGTGATAATAACGATAATAATAATCATCTAGATAATAACGTATTGCAGTAGAGTAATGTCAAATAAAATAATATTAGGAACATCCTAAAAAGTAACAGCGGCCGACTAGATTTTTTCCTAAAAATTACAGCAGCCCACTAGATTCTTTATCAGAAAATGTTTTTCGTCCTGGCATGTAATGCTTTACATTTTATTTTTTAATTTCAAATCGGTGATTTTATCAAAAATACAAAGAGATAAAAAAAAGTTTCTAAAGGGCAAACTATCCAAATTAATTTTGCATGTGTTTGATAAGATTTTTCTTTACCCAGTCGTTAACAAGAATGAGAGGGGTAGTTTTTTCGAACCCCTTCCACTCATTTTAAAAAAGTGAAAAAAATAAAACCAGTAAACTCTCACATAACATTTATTACTTTATTTTACATACAGCAATAATAACAATTGAATATAATAGTAATATACAATTAAAGATCTACTTACAGAGAATAGGTTATTTATACATACTTAAAAATATAATGTAAAGGAATGGTTAATATAAAAATTTATCACAATAAGTACAATACACAATTCTAAGAATTACAAAAAAAAGCTCAAACTCGAAACATTTGAAAATAAATAAAAATTTCAGAAGAAAAAAAAATAATAATAATTTCAACATATAAAAAATCTTAGCATTAATTTGGCAATTATTTTATAATTTATTTAATCGAATTTCTCCTATTTTTTATGTCGTAATTTTATTTGTTCTTATTGAAGTTAAAATATTAAAAAAATAATTTATATTCATTAAAAAAATTGTATAATATTCTGTAAACATTTATATAAGAAAAATATCTAAAAAAAATTACTGGGTTCTCTTAAATTAACTTTTTAACACTTATTCAGATTATATTTATATTAGTTCTATCTACAAGGCATTTTATATACTTATTACTATTTTAAATTCTTTCAGCTAAAGTTTAAAATAATAACAGCCATATTTCCTAAATCAAATACCATAGTTTCAAGCTAGATAGCCGTCAATCTAATAAAAACATACATCAACAGAGGGCGCGGTTGTACGACCCCATAAAAATTGACAGCTGTCATTAATTTTTATCCTTAATATCTAAATAATAGGTACACATATGAAAAATATAACAACTAGGAAGGGATGGGCAGCTTTTACATATTTTTTTTTCTTTCCAGTTCTAAGCTCTACTACTTTAACAGCAACAGCATTTTTTTAGCTTTACTAATCTGTGGACGTATTGATTTTTTTACCTGCCCATCCCCGAGTTTAAGTAGTTTTTTTTAAACCTTACATTAAATTAAATTTTGTAAAAACATGAAGTAGTAATGCAAAAAACAATATTAGAGTACCTGAAGAAAGATATCCTGCACCATTACACGGTTTCTGTATGTAATTAAAAAATATTTCATTAAGATTTTTAGCCTCATAAGTTGTCCTGCAATGGTTGTCTAATGCCTGTACAAAGCATTTCTTCATTACAGTCAAGTCACTTTGAAAAATACAAAAAAAAAAATCATTTAGAAACTTATTTAAAATTGTTTTTTTTAACTATACTTACTCGCACATATCTTTTTTTAGCAAATTACCATTTGACGGAGGGAATATACGGTTCAAACAGTACTCCAAATCGTTTGAAGTAGAATTTTCTATTCTGCTTCGACAATCAGTAACTGCAGGGGTAAAAAACCCTAAAAAACACATTGAACATAACTTAAAATACATTAAACCTTTTTAAAACTGACTTGTTGAGTATTCTCCATCATTGTGACATAGAAAATGTAAAAACTCCTGAAAACTCTTCCTTATAAAGCCCGGTAAATAGTCTTCATCGTTCTTGAAACATTTTGAAAGATCTTTTTCAATTTCTTTTATTCTAACGACTAAATTCTTCCTTTCGCTGTCGCAAAACGTTTGTTTCTGATTAGGAAGAAAGGCAAAAGCGTATTTTAAGTATTGTAACATTTCATAAACATTATTTCGAAGTTGTAGAAAGGCCTCATTGTTTCCTGAATTGTTCAGGCATTTCTTATCGAAATATTTTTCTAATTGACTTATCTCCGCGTCCTGAGCTGATAAAAGCGAAAAAGAACCTAAAAATACAAAATGCACCGTAAATCATATCAGTTTTATCTTTTAAAAAATTGAATCAATAAAAAGTTTATGACCTAATGAATAAGTATAATGTTATTTTAATAAACATCCTTTGTAATCGAAGATGAAATCACGTACAGGGATAACTAATTGAAAAGCTGATAAGAACTTACCAAAAACAAAGACAAAAAATAAAGAAAAATGCGAAATATTTGCCATTATTTTCGGATTTTCTCGAAAAAATATCACACAAATACAAATGTCAAGAGCCAAGACCAAATTTACATCATATGAAGTTGACAAATGAGTCAAACATGACTCGAATGATAAATAACAAATTAAATTTCGTTTTCTTTAAATATTCAAACACTTTTTGAAAGAAATAACGCTTGGGTAATTCTAGATTTTAATAAAAAACACATTAAATCACATATCAAGCAATATTTTTGCTGAATTTTCAATTTTAAAAATTTCAAAACTAATATAGGCAACCAGTAAAATACAATTTTCTGACATCAAAATCAAACGTTTCACGTTTCTAATCTGAGGTTTTTTGAATTTTAACTTTTTTACAATTTTTTAAAAGTCAGGAATTTTGACACTCTTTTCTCCTTTTAAAGTTTACCATTTTTTCGGAAAAATGGCCAAAAAAGAATTTAAACTAAGCAAAACACTATACGGCCATTCCCTAGACGTTAGATCAATCGTAGTTACGGAACAAAATGATATTATAAGCGGTTCCCGAGATAAAACTGCAAAGTTTTGGAAATATAACCCGTAAGTTAGAAATAATTACCTACAGCACGATTCTACGTGAGTTTTTTGTTTAAATATCCTCTTTATGCTTTATTTTTATTTAGATTTCAAGAAAATTACGAAGAGGTTATGACATATCGAGACCAAAAGAACTTTGTTGGAGCTGTTTTGTTTATCGAACCAACTGAAGAATATCCTGATGGCCTGGTAGTCACTGGGGGAAACGACAAGCTTATTTTAGTTTATAAACCTTCAGAACCCTTTGCTACCTTTACCATCAAAGATCACACCAATACAAGTACATTATTTCTATTTTTAAATAACATTTAAAATAATGTATTGTTTTAGTCAGTTGTTTGAGCAAATCAAACGAAGCAAACGCCTTTTTTTCGGGATCTTGGGATAATAGTGCTAAGTACTTCAAACTATCAGGAACTCCAAGTTGTATTGCTACATTTTCTGGACATTTGGCTGCTATATGGTCTGTGATTCAGTTAAAAGATAGTAGAGTTGTTACAGCAAGTGCAGACAAGACTATAATCGTTTGGGATAACAAAGGACAGAAATTACAAACATTAACCGGTAAAATTGATGAAATTAATTTATTACGAAATATTAAGATGGTTTTTTTTAGGTCATACGGACTGTGTTAGAGCTCTAACTGATTTCCCAGACTTGAATTTGTTTGTAAGTGCTGCCAATGATGCTTCTATTAAAATCTGGAACTATTCTGGTGAAAATATTCAAACTCTTTACGGACATACCAATTATATATACAGGTAAACCAAACTTTTTGTGAGATTCTATTGAGCACAGCTGAAACATGCTGAAAAATGTATGTATTTTCAATAAAAGGCAGTTTAATGCCGGGAGCTTGCCATGATCTCTTTCCAGTTCAAAAGAACTTATAGAGACAAGACAAATTGCTGATTCCGATTATTTAGTGGTTCTGGTATTTCATTGCAAAGAAAATTGTAGGTTTACTAAACAAAATGTTGATTTAAAAAGAAGTTTTATGTAAAATTTGTAACTCTAGGTATTTTTTTAGTGTGGCGAATTGTAAAACAGTAGGTCAGGATTGTTTTGTATCGTCGGATGAGGATAGAACTGTGAGAATATGGGAGAATGGAATAAATACGGAGAGTATAACACTGCCAGCACAGTCTGTGTGGAGTGTGGCTTGTTTAAAAAATGGGGACATTGTTACTGGTTCAAGGTAAGCTTATTATTTATTACAGATAAGAAAAAAAAAGGAATTTTCTTCTTATATATGCAATAAGAAAATATATTTAGGGGTTTTTATATTTAATTTTTTAAATATGTTAAAAATTGCCCAAGTTATTTAAGTTTATAAGAATTGTTCAAAGATTTTCAGAGATCCTGGTTTATTTTGAAAATGTTTTAGTTGAACCTGTAGTTCTCAAAATCTTTAATTCGAACATTTAAAGGTCTAGATTAATTTTATATTTATATTATATATATTTTCTAACTTATTATAGTGATGGGTTAGTGAGGATTTTTACTAGAGACGAGGCGAGATACGCGAGTCCAGAAAATCTAACAAAATTCAAAGAGGAAGTTGACAATTTGTTACAGCAAAGCACGCAGGAGATTGGAGGGATTAAAGTGTCAGAGTGAGTCGGTACATTTGACCTACTATGAATTAGTAATTTTTTCTTTTTTAATTTGCTAGTTTGCCTGGTAAAGAGGCCCTGTACGAACCGGGTAAGAGGGCAGGTCAGATGAAAATGATACGCGAGGGAGGCAAGGTAGTTGCCTATACTTGGGTGTCGGAGGGTGATTCTAGCCATTGGGATAAAGTGGGTGACGTCATGGGAGGGACTGATAAAGATGCGTCGGGGAAAACGGTTTTTGAAGGCAAGGTAAGATCTATTGATTAAAACACAGGATCGCTATTATTTGTATTTTTATTTTATACTAACATACAATACACGAAGTTTGTAATTCTATCTAAAAATTATTTATTATGTTATTAAGTTTGTTTAACCTATAACTTTGGAGAATATTAAAAAAATAATGATAAAATTAGCTTTTAGCTTGCAACTTTTTTATTTTTTAATGAAAAATACTCGGAAATAAACGAACTATATTGACAATATTAGTATCTGTACTCTTTGAAAATGTTACATCATTAATCTAAAATGTCAATATTCCATGGATATACCGGGTGCGTCGCAAAAGTGGCTCACCCCTATAACTTTGTATATTAAAAATCCAAATTTAAACTAAAATTACACAACTCTTTATTTACAGTTTTCTTTAAGGTAGTCGATTTCATATTGAAAAACAGTAAAGAACAGTTTGTTCCACCTACAAACAACCAATATCAAGACCCTTTTACTGGGGGAAGTAGATATACCCCCAGTTATCAGTCGAATTCAAACCAAACAGGTGTTAATGTCGACCCTTTTACAGGTAAATTCTTATTTGTTTTATTTAAAAAATGTTATTAAATCTTTTCTGTGAAACATAACCTATATTTTTACTTTTTTACAAATCTATTGACTAATTTATTTTAGGCGGAAGCAGTTATTCGACAGCTGCTTCTAAAAAGACTTCTAGTTCTGTGTCAGTGTCGAGTGGAGCAAATACTGATCCATTTACAGGGGGATCAAGCTATACCACTACTTCACAGGTACATAGGGTGTCCAAATTCGGCTTTCACCATTCTAGGCTACATTAAGAGGTTACAATGGTGAGAACCGAACTTGAAACACCCGGTATAGTGAGCCTCTATGTTTAATTATTTCTCTGAGATGAAATTTGTCAAACTAAATCATTTTTTTTCTATGTTAAAAAAGACTTCAACCAGTTCATACTTTCCTATATCGACATACAAAACTTTTGACACAGGAGATCCAAATGTCATCTTGAAAAAACTTAAAGAATTTAACTCGAACAGTACCCAAAATAAAGTAATTGAAGAAGAATTAGACAGTTTGGTGGATATTTGTGTGGGAATCCCTCAAAACCCCAACACATTTGACCTACTGTTTAGGTTACTAGACTGGCCTGATGGTACTATAATTGAAATATTCAAAAATCTCCAATTTCTTCAACTATATCTTCATTTCAGAGCTAGTTTTTCCAGTGCTGGACATTGTAAGACTGGCTGTGAGGCACCAGAAGAACAATGAGGTTATATCGGAAACCAACAACGGCATAATCATGCAAAAACTGTTGAGTTTCATTGGTGAAACTAAAATACCCAACAATACGATTCTGGCGTTTAGAACTTTATGTAATTTGTGTTGTCACGAGCCAGGAGAGAATTTAGTTTATAGTAATCAGTTTGACATATTGGAGAATATCACGTCTTTGGGACATTTAAATAAAAATGCACAGGTAGGGTAAAAACTATATACAGAAGAAATTGTAGTATATGATCTAGGACATATATTTTCTTAATTTTTTTTAGATTGCCTTAGCCACAGTCCTACTCAACATGACTGTCTTGTCAATTAAAAAAAACGACGACGTATGTTTCTCAGTCCTAGCACAAGTACTACCTGATGTTCTAACCAAACTCACTGATCCAGAGTCTCATTTTAGAATCTATGTTGCCTTAGGTATGTATTTCATTTTAAAAAATATGTTTTGTGTATTCTATGAACAAAATATACTTTAAGGGACATTAATTCAGCAGTCAAACTCTCACAAGACTGAAATTGTTCAGAGAGTGAACGATAACAGCAATTTCTTGACTACGTTACAGTTGCATAGTTTTTCTGGAGGAAATGAACTGGAATGCAAAAGAACGAACTGCGTGAAACAACTGCAAGCTTTACTTCAATAATATACTTTAAAAAATGATTTTTATAACAAGTGTTAAGCCAAATTAATTTATTTTTAAAAATACGTATGTAAAAGTTGGATACTTTAACAATATAGGTTTTGAAAGTGAATTTTAACTTAATTTTTTTATTTAATATCTTGTGTATATACAATAAATGACTAATAATCCAAACCTGACTAACAAAAATATATTGTTTTCCTTATCCACTGCGTCTCTTAGCTTCTTCAGCTTTGACTTTCAATCTGGCGTTTCTCTCGTATTCCTTAGCTCTAATAACAAAACTAAAACCGCAAAAAAGTTAAATTATTTAATACTAAGATAGAAAAGGACTTACTCTTCATATTTACAGTTCAAATAGGCGTGTTTTTCGTGTGAACATTTAACGACAAAAGGGAAAGTGTCTCTCCTGCATCTTTTGTAATCGATAGCGAGATCAGCACAAAATCTCTGTGTTCAAGGGGGATTAACGCCGATTTTAATTCCGCATCGGTAACTTTCGATACTAAAAATAAAATAGATTGCTAATTTAAGGATTTAACGATAAAAAAGGTCTAAAACCTCTTTCGGGTCGTCCATTGGGGAAACCAAGTAACGGGTCAAACGATGGTTGTTCGGCTGGATCTGGTGTTACCTCGGGATAAAAGTATCGTTTTACACCACTACTCATTATAATTCCCATTGTTATTTAATAATTAGGGCTCAAATCTTGGTAATTAAAATCTACAGAATCTCTCCCCGATTTGACAGTTAGGTTATGTAAGATCTTCTTCTTTTTTTTATAGATATATTTATGTTTTATGGTCACAGCTGCCCGAGCTATCCAGCAGAGTGGTATAAAATCCATCCTTGATTGGACACATAAAAATAGTTTTTTACTTTGCTAAAGTAGATTATCTGTATATCTTTGATTTTAAAGAAACCCATCCATGATTATAAAGTATCTGACCAAAGTGCCTGGCCGTATAGTCCTGGCAGCTTAGGCCGTAAAACTAATCAAGAAGAAGAATTCCAAAGTGTCAAAAATTTGACAAATATAAGTAGCTAACTTCACACCCTTTAAAATTCTTTTTGTGGTCGCATCAGTGATTTGCAGGTTTGTTTTTTTAAATATTTTAACAATCTTTTCACAATATTGCACAATAACTTGATTTAATATTATTAAATTAATCTATCTTGCTTTGTACTCATTTATTTTTAGTCTTGTAACTGTTTTTTTTTATTTTTAGGCCACGAAAATGGGGCGCCGTCCCGCAAGATGGTAAGTTTTGTTTTTGTTGCGACATTGTCTCAAAAATATATTTTTTGTTCTTTCAGTTATCGTTATTGTAAGAACAAACCCTACCCAAAATCAAGATTTTGTCGTGGTGTCCCAGACCCAAAAATCCGTATTTTTGACTTGGGTAAAAAGAAAGCAGCCGTAGATGACTTCCCACTTTGTGTTCATCTAGTTTCTGACGAATATGAACAACTAAGGTTTGCTAAAACGCTTTGTATATGTTTCTGAAACCAACAGAATGTATTTATTTTAGTTCAGAAGCCCTCGAAGCTGGTCGTATCTGCTGTAACAAATACCTGGTGAAAAATTGCGGTAAAGATCAGTTCCACATCCGTATGAGACTCCATCCTTTCCATGTTATCAGAATTAACAAGATGTTGTCGTGTGCTGGAGCCGATAGGTATGTACAAAGAAAGTTTGGTTTAATTTTTAAAGTATTTTGTCCCTGTGTTACTTGATTACATTAAATTTAATAGGTAGTTGAGCGTCGAAAGGGACATTACATTGAATTCAAATTTTCCACAAGCTCATTTTTTTTTTTTGTTAAATGTGGCTTACTAAAAATTTGAAACATTTTTATAGTATCTCAATAGAAAAATAACCTATGTTTTACTGATAAATAACAAGTAAGTAATTTTTGTTTGTGTTTTTATAGGCTTCAGACAGGAATGAGGGGTGCTTTCGGTAAACCTCAAGGTACCGTAGCCAGAGTCCGCATCGGTCAGCCGATCATGAGCGTCCGATCCACGGACCGTTTCAAGGCGCAAGTGATCGAAGCCCTGAGGCGTGCCAAGTTCAAGTTCCCCGGTCGTCAAAAGATCTACGTGTCCAAGAAGTTCGGTTTCACCAAATACGAACGTGATGTTTATGAGGATTTGAAGACACAGGGTCGGTTGGCATATGACGGTTGCAATGTACAATACAGGCCAGAACATGGACCTTTGAACGTCTGGAAAAAGGCTCAGGAAGACATTTTTTCAGCTTAAGTTTACAAAAATAAAGAGTTTTCTTTTTAAAAAGGTGTTTTATTTAAACTCAGATTAATGTAATTTGTCCCTGTGTTACTTGATTACAAATATTTAATAGGTAGTTGAGTGTCTAAAGGGACATAACATTAAATTCAAATTTTCCACAAGCTCATTTATTTTTCCGTTAAAACATTTTTTTTCCCTTCATTAGCTAGATGAAATAAGTAAATAAACTATGTATCAATCTAAAGGTTGCTCTAGTTGGTCCAAACGCTATCAGAAACTAAAGAGTAATAAATAATATAAATAAATAAATACGTGTTTTATTTTATTTAAACTCGTGAATTTTAAATCCTTTCTTTTAGTATTGGAAACCTTCAAATAACCTTGCTTCTTGCTTTCATTATGTTCATACAGGGTGTTTCGAAAAAAATGTGTCAGCTCTAGTAGGGATTTATTTTGATATTCACCTAGGTCCGATTCTGTTTTCTTTCGTACTTACAGGGTGTTAAAGTTTTTTTCCACAAGCTCATTTATTTTTTCTGTTAAATGTGGCTTACTAAAAATTTGAAACATTTTTTTATGTACCTTCATAGAGAAATAAGTAAATAAAGAGCTGTATCAATCTAAAGGTTGCTCTAGTTGGTCCAAACGCCATCAGAAACTAAAGAGTAATCACTAATAAATAATATAAATAAATAAATACGTGTTTTATTTTATTTAAACTCGTGAATTTTAAATCCTTTCTTTTAGTATTGAAACCTTCAAATAACCTTTTGCTTTCATTATGTTCATACAGGGTGTTTCGAAAAAATGTGTCAGCTCTAGTAAATTCCAATTTTGATATTCACCTAGGTCCGATTCTGCTTTCTTTCGTAGTTACAGGGTGTTAAAGTTTTCATCTTTATTCGATTTATTATAATTTTTTTCCAAGTGCTTTTAGCGAATCCAATGAAATTTTGAGGGTAAAAGTTACTATAACTGCGACATATTTTAATGGCTAAATAATATCGACATATTCACCACGGACGCGCATCTGATTAATCACTGAGTATTTTGAAGAGGCACGAATTCTGCAATGAATATCGGAATAATATACTGGGTGTCCCATTTAAAATAAAAGAAAACATGCTTTTAAAGCGACCAATGCTCAATATTAACTTTGCCTCACCCTGTGTAACTTTTCAAGTCAAGTTTTTTTGATTTTAAGTACAATCGTTATCTTAATTACACGTTAGTATGTACCAGATAAATTCCAATTAAGATAGCTTTTATTGAACTTTAAAATATCTTTTTCCAGCTTTGTCAAAAAGGTTACATTTTAGCCTTGTTTAAATTCATATACAAGGATTTTAGTCATATGGGTATGCTTAAACATAAACTTACCTTTTATTTTTTACTAGAATCGAAAAATTCTTATAATATAAATATAGGACGCTCCATTACAAAAAAATACAATTTCGATGTGTAACTTTCTTGAGTAAATTTTTGCTCACAAAATTTTATTTCAATACAGTCATTCTTGAGCCTCACAACAGTATGAGAGGCGCCACCCTGTATATTCTAATATGCACAAGTATCAAAATAAGCGTAATTTACTTTAAAATTATATTAAAATAAACTTCCAAATATAACAAAACAGAAAGACAGACATATATTTCAATTTTTCTTCTGCCTAACGCCAAAAATAGTTGTTCCAACCCTAACGTTCGTGCTTCCCATAGCGATGGCATGTTCAAAATCATTCGACATGCCCATAGACAAATTCAAATCTTTCCAATCCAGCTTGAATTTTTCACAAACTTCATCTCTACATTTTTTTAAACAAATGAAATCCGGATTGGGACCATTTGACAGGTCATAGCCGAACATTCCAATTGTCATTAGTCCATCCAGTCTACAAAATAACTGTTAAAATACAGTATGATCGAAAAAATTTGTGTCAAAACAGCTGAGGAATGAAAATCGATGATAATTTTGGCGAGGTCGAACACTAGACGTCAGTTACTCATTATTCTTCTTTATTTTTATTGGCGCTTACTGCCAGATGGCCTTAAGAAGATTGTAATTTATTTTTATATTGGGTAAAAATGATTTTTAAATGATGTAGGTAATTTTTTGGAAATAGATTTATGTCTCTGGAAACGTTCTATCCTTTTATAATCTTTCTATAATTATTGCTGTTAAAAAATGACGTCTAGAGATTGCCCTCGCCAAAATTATCAATTGTCATTCCTCGCCGTCTCTGACGGCGTTTTTTTCGATCATACAGTATAAAAAAGATAAAATAACTGAATTCTACCTTAAATTAGGGCACTGATTCAGTACAAAATCTGCCAAGTTAGTCACTTCATCCGGTTTAATGCCATTCTTTTCTTCTTCACCACTTGTGTTGATTTGTATCATTACATTCAACTTTGAGTCAGAATTACGAAAGTTTGGCCAACTCTGATTCAGTTTGGAAGCAAGTTTTTCAGAATCCACAGTCTCTATTATATAGAGGTTCGGCAATGGAAGTATCTTATTGATTTTGTTATTTTGTAGGTGTCCGATGAAATGCCACCGTATCTCCTTACATTTTTCCAGAATCTCTGGATTAGTAGCTTTATCTACCAGTTCCTGAACATAATTTTCACCAAAGTGTCTTTGTCCTACAAAAAAATCCCTTTTTTATTGCCAAAAAATGATGAAACTCAAAACAGTATTTTTTTTACCAGCATTATACACTTCTATGATGTCTTCTACGGGTTTTGTCTTGCTAACAGCCAACAATCTTGGTGTAACATCTTGAAACTCAGCTGGGCGTTCTTTCGAAGCCTTTTCTATTCTTTGCCATACGCTTTTCAGGTTTTCACGTACAGTTGCTTCAGTCATTTTTTTAATCATTTTTCATCATACGATGTTTTGCAATTTATTATCGCTAAAACAATGCGATTGATAAGTGAATTTACTTAATTCAGAATAAGTATATACAATGCTAATATTAAATAAATAAATATATGAATTTATCACTATAATTTATCCTGTAATAACAGGAAGCAAACCAAAAACAACTGTTGTACACTGTGTAAAGAATTATTGATAAATATAGCAAGTTAAGCTGTGTAATCTGTATTAATTCTTATAAACATAACATTTATAGAATAAATTTTAATATTTACCTTTGTAAAATAATTGTTTTGCAAGAATTTTCTATGGAGTTGTGATAAAAAAACACGAATTTTCTCATTAATACTAAACCGTTTTGAACTAGAATGGGTCTCTAATAATTTATCTATAATTTAGAGGTTTTAATTTTCAATATTTTTAGAACGTTTTTAGATCAAACAAAGATACAGAAATAAAATAAATAATAAATCCTCTAAAAGATATACTGATTTTTGATGGCCTCAATGGCCTTGATACACCATCTTGACCACAGATTTTGAATTTTGACATACATAATATAAATTTCAGGGTTGGGCACGTGTAATTTCTTTCTCAGCATTAGAATTTTTTGCATGTAAAATATATAGATTTATTATTTATATAGAATTCGTATATCGTTTTGTTTAGTAGATTTATCACCAGATCTGCCATAAATTCCTGTTTCAAATATACTATTATATTATTATCTATACAGAGTGGTTTATATTAAATATGTATTTATACAGGGTGTCTCAAAAACATGTGCCATCTCTCGTGGGGATTTTAATGCAAGTGTCCACATATTCACCAGGGACGTGCATATGGGTTATCACTAGAATATTTTTCTAAAAAAATATGTGCGTCACTGATGACATGGTTTTTTTGAAACACCCTATATACTAATATTAAAATATAAGTTGTATAATTGGAAGTATTCGATAATATTGTCCCTTGTGTAAGTAATTTCACTACTCTATATGGCATTGTATATACAGGGTGAGTCAAAAACTTGGCATATCCCTTTCTGTTATTCACCCTGAATAAAACAATATATTTTAAAAAGAAAAAAGTGTAGTTTACTGATTCTTACATTGTTCAACAACCCAAAATGAGAATTCAAAATAAAACTTCATATTCGTAACTTTTTATAACTTATTTATTTGATATTATAATCATTTTTTTTTACATTATAGACACTGATTTAACAACATCAAAATCGATAACAATAGACTCCTAAAAAGAATAATAAATCTGCTAGTTTAAAACCTAAAAAAGAAGGAAAAAAAAAACATAAAAATATTAGTTAAAATACTGAAAAAAGCCGTCGTATTGCTGCGATATTTCTTGGAATGTACCTCCCATACACATTTACAAATTTAATCTATACATACGTTAGTAACATATAGCGGGGAAAAAACAGAAAATAAAAAGGGTGTATTTACAATTGCACATAGACAATATTTGATATCATATATCTAAGAAAATATTTTTTTAACAATAACGTCAAAAAAAATTAATTTTACTTTATTTATCTGCGGTAAAGGATGGTTTTTGTGTGGAACTACCTTAACAACTATAAGGAAAATAACATGAGAATGACGTTTAGTGGCGCGAGTCCCTGGGATAGAACTCCGCCAGTGTTGCCGCTGGTATACGTTTCAACATCTCTTTGGGGAAGATACGGAGCAATTGCCAACCGATGTCCAGCGACTCGAAGACTGTCCTGTTTTCGTAGTTGCCCTGCGAGATGAAGTTCTTCTCGAACTTCGTCAGGAACTCCAGGTAGAGAAGATCGTCGGGAGTCAAAGCCTCCTCACCCACTACGGCCTTCATGGCTTGCACGTCCTTACCAATGGCGTAGCAAGCGTACTGAAAGAATGAGAAAATAAGAATAAATAATATTTTAACGTCATAAATCATATCGACTAGGGAATGCAATCCCGCACCAAAATCTTAATCCAGCAAACCCGCGGGATTAAAGAAATCAATCCCGCGGATCCGCAAAATTGCGGGATTGTAAACAATAAATGCTCTTTTTTCTCTCTCCGATTTTGGGATGCGGCTTGGACCAGGTTTTAGACGCATCCATTGTGATTAAGATGCTATGTGGTTTTCGAAAATATATTTAGCGAATTCTCATATACAGGGTGTTTTATAATAGCGTACAAATTTGGTCAAGAATCTTTTTTACTGAAAATTTACAATTTTTGAAAAATCGAAATTTTAACTACGTACGACTAATTTTATAAATAAAAATATTATTCTGATGTTGAAGTTTTTTTAACTTGTGTTAGTTATCTGCTTTCAGATACACTCTATATTAATAATTTTTTGGCATATGCAGATGTACAAAGCTTTTTGTACCATTTAGGACCATCGTATAAAAAACGTTGTATTTTCCTTAAAACAAAAAAAAACAAAAAAAAATATCAAATTGTTTTTTTTTTCTAATTTCAATACAGATTAGTCGTACTTGGTAAAAATTTCGATTTTTTAAAAATTGTAAATTTGCGGTAAAAAAGATTCTTAACCAAATTTTCACTCTTATAAAACACCCTGTATACGACAATTCGCTAAATATATTTTCATATTTTCGAAAACCACATAGTATCTTAATCACAATAGATGCATCTAAAACCTGGTCCAAACCGCATCCCAAAATCTTTTTTAGTTCAAGAGATATTCAACTAATGGCCAAGCCGTAAGGGGAATCCCCTGGTGTCGATCCCGCACGGTAAATCCCGCAACTTCGATCTCGCGGAATCACAGAGGGATCCCGCATTTGCGGGATCCAGCATTTGCGGGATTGCATTCCCTAATATCGACATTGACACTTAAGTCTATAAACCTAATGAACTAAATGAAATTTTGGCAAAAATGTTTAAATTTGTCGTATAATTTAAAATTCCGTGCAGCTCTTCATTTTACTTTATAGAGCAAATGATTGTAACAGATATTTTATTTAGATTAAAGCTGCAAAAATTAGTTTAAATCGAATTTTATTATCGCTATGTTGGTCACATTGCGCCGCGTTCAGCAACGTTGTCGTTTATTATTTGACAATTATCATAATTCAGTCATTATTTTGTATAATATCGTGTTGTTGTTAAATCTTTGTGAGTAATTCTAGTTTTTTTGCCTATTTTCATAGTCTTTTTTTAAAAATTGTACTTTTAGGTACAGCAACAGTTCTTTTAAGAACTAAATTTTCAAGTTTTTATATTGCATTTCTTGAAATTGTGTGTTGAAAATATGTCGAAGCATTTAAACAATCAAAGCAAAAACCTTGTAGCTTCCCTGATAAACTATTTTGAATGAGAACGTGACAATAAAGGTCCTTTTTTACCCTTGACTGCAGTCAGAGAAGTAAGTTTAATTGATGACACGAGAGAGCTAAGGAACGATCATGTTCATACAAAACCGACTAGTAGACGAACTACAATCGGATGAGATTCTGGGAATGGTCTCGGATCTCACACCACCAATCCAACTCTTGACGCGCACCTACAACGTCCTGTTTCCGAATAGGGACGAATGGGATAAGCCGTGAAACGGCTTATTACTTGCGGAAATGTGTTGGTACACGGACGGATCCAAAGACGATAAAGGATCTGGCGCAGGAATTTACTGCAGCAGTCCAAAGACTGAGATCTACCACAGTCTTGGAAAACACACCACAATTTTCCAAGCTGAGCTATATGCTATTGAAACCTGTGTGCAACTGCTGGTAGAACAGCAATACACCGGGAAAACAATAAGCATATTTTCGGATAGTCAAGCCGCGTTGAAAGGACTTGAGGCAACGAAAAGCACGTCCATGACGATTCTCTTCATTGTAAGAAACTACTCAATATATTAGGAGATAGGAACAAAGTGTCGCTAATATGGATATCGGGACATGTCGGCCTAGAGGGAAATGAACGTGCTGATTCCCTCGCCAAAACTGGTGCAGGCTCGCCATTCGTGGGCCCAGAACCGACACTTAGCGTACCAAAAAATCTCGCAAGAGACAGGCTCTGTGAATGGGTTAGGGGTGCGACGTTTCGGGACTGGTATGACAGTCCCGGAATGGAACATGCCAAGACAATCATAGCAGGGCCATCCAAACGTAGAACAGATGAATTTCTAAAGGCTGGTAGGAACAGAGCGCGTACGCTTACTGCAGTATACACGGGCCACTGCCGGCTGAGATCACACCTACAGAGAATGGGACTGGTGGAAGACGCCGAATGTCGACTCTGTATGGAAGATGACGAAACAATGAAGCACGTTATGTGTACCTGCCACGCTGGGGGCAGGACCAGGTTTGAGGTGTTTGGCAAACCCACGCTAGACCTTTCAGACCTAGAAGACATATCACCCTCGGACATAACGGCCTATGTTAAAAGGCTGGGTCTTGAGGGTGAACTTTAATGCTCTTTTTCTATTAAAGAGCTTGTAGAAACTGAGCTACAATAGGCCCCTCAATCAGCCGGCTGCCGACCGGGTCTCAATAAACTATCTTTCTCGCGCTTAGAGATACTCATAAGACTTTCTTATCGCGCTCATTTAAAATCTTTATTCGCGTCTGGCAAGTATCAAATCCCATTGAATTCGTCTGGCAATTAACACATATTTTTTAATATCATCTAATAAACACGCTGTAAAAATTTTAGAATGCCTAAAGTATGTTTTCCAGGTATGATAATTAAACATATTTGGAAAAGTCTGGTTACACTTTAAACCCGAAAAAAAAGTCTGGCATACTTATTTCTAGGTTAAATAGATGCTAAAATTTAAGAATAAACAAATTTCAAGTTGCCTAAAGAATGTTTTTTGGATTTATTTTTTTGCAAATGTTATGGGTTGCGCAGTAGCGAAATACCCCCAACCTCCCAGCCAGAGTTAGGATTCTGGGTTCACCAGTTAATAAACTATACATTTTTAGTTATTCTAGCTTGCCTAAAATATGTTCTCTAAATATGTCGTCAGCTCTTAGGCTATAATATCACCCTCCAACCCTCAACTGTAACCCTCTTATTACCTTACCCTATCTTGTTATTACCACTTATGATGTTGTAAGATGTAGTTTCACTTCAATAACAACAACTGACATACTTTTAGTATTTTTTTTGTTAAAATTACAAAATTATGGTACTTTAAAAAAAATAAACTAGTTTTACAAAAACCTTTACTTACCAACTGGTTAGAAACGTCAGAATGGTCTTTCCTGGTCATGCCCTCCCCGATAGCGGACTTCATCAGACGGGACAGAGATGGCAGCACGTTGACAGGTGGGTAGATTTGTCTGTTGTGCAGCTGACGGTCGACGTAGATTTGACCTTCGGTAATATACCCGGTCAAATCGGGAATAGGATGGGTAATATCGTCGTTAGGCATAGTCAGGATGGGAATCTGGGTGATGGAACCGTTCCTGCCCTCGACACGGCCAGCACGCTCGTAGATGGTGGCCAAATCGGTGTACATGTAACCGGGGAAACCACGACGTCCGGGTACCTCCTCTCTGGCGGCGGATACCTGGAAAAAGTGAGGTTATGACTATACAGGATACTGCAACAGTGCATCAGGTATCTGTTAAGCTTTTTGAATAAAAAGATTAAGGCAGGAGCATATCAAAAATCTTAGAATGAATGCGACGGGGTCCTAAAATGGCCGACTTAAATTCCGGTTTATCAGTGCCGTTCTAATTATATTCAAAACGTGTAAAAATGTGATGTTGGGTGGACTCAATAACTTGTTGTTTTATTTTATGTTGTCAATAAATGTTGGTAGTTATTAAAATTGTTATAAAAATGTATAATTCTAATAAAAATCGATAAGTTATAATAATTATTTAATAACAAAAACATCCGATACGCTACTGAAGCAGGTTAAGTCATATTGACGCATCTAAATTCGTTGACAAGTAGTAAGTTTTGTCATAATTTCCTTCTTGATTTACTACCTCTAAACAACTATCAGTCGTAGAATAAATAGTAAATAACATAAAATAAGCTCACTAAAGACTGACAAATCTCCAAAATTTCGAATCAAATTCAAATGTGTCAAATAAATCGTCAAACAGAACTGCCAAGGATACCCCACCCTATAGCCTCACCGTCTATTATACTACCAATCTTTTTATTCAAAGTTAATATCAGGAGAGTAAAAAACTACTTTTTTACGTGTAAAATATTTTGTGAAAAGCAAAAAACACAATTTTTGGGATTAGTAAAGTTACTTTAAATACGCTGTTTTCCGTTTTAATGACAACTATTGTAAAAATTTCATTCAAATTGTTTGAACTTATGTTCAAAGAAAAATTTTAGGTGTGTTTTACATCAAAATAAAAAAAAACAGAAAAGGACAGATATACATATGCCTAACCATGGTTAATATTTCCCATTTTAATCCCCTTGTAATCTCGTTTATAATTTTATTTTAAATTATATTTTATTGAATTTGTTTTTATTAAGAAACAAAAACGTCACAATAAAATATCAGCTAGAATTAATTTTTCTCAGTGTATTTGAAAAAAAAATTCAATAAAATCATTGACATTTTTCTTTTCGGTGTACAAGTGAGTTTAACTGTCAAAATATGTGACTTCAAGGTCAAAAATTTAGGACACAAACCTCAAAGGAACTGAACTTACTGTCGCTTCTGTATAATTAAGAATTATACCTTCATTCATTTTTTTTCTTGCTTAAAAATAGATCACACAAATATTTACAGAGTGCGTTATATTTACCAACATTTTTGTTTATCATACTAATTACTCATACATATTTTAATATAATTTTTTTGAATAAAATTAAAAGCTGAATGAATAGAAAAAAATTAAAATTGCCTACAAAAAATATTCATGGTTTATCAATAAAAAAAAAACAATATATGAATTGAACTAGTATCTTTTAATACCATTTTTTATTAAAATTATATAAATAAAGGTACTTACTTCACGCAAAGCTTCAGCATAGGAAGACATGTCAGTTAATATAACCAGTACGTGCTTCTCGCATTGATAGGCCAAAAATTCAGCAGCTGTCAAAGCCAAACGCGGTGTAATAATTCTTTCAATAGTTGGATCGTTGGCCAAGTTCAAGAACAAGCATACATTCTCCATAGAACCATTCTCTTCGAAATCTTGCTTGAAGAATCTATGAAAAAAAAAACCATTAAGTAAAAAAATACATACAAAAAAACTATTTTTTACCTGGCGGTTTCCATGTTGACACCCATAGCAGCAAACACAATAGCAAAGTTGTCTTCATGGTCGTCTAGTACTGATTTTCCAGGTACTTTTACTAGACCAGCCTGTCTACAGATCTGGGCAGCAATTTCGTTGTGAGGTAAACCAGCAGCGGAGAAAATGGGGATTTTCTGACCACGGGCAATAGAATTCATGACATCAATAGCAGAGATACCGGTTTGGATCATTTCTTCTGGGTAAATACGCGACCAAGGGTTAATGGGTTGTCCCTGAATGTCCAAGAAGTCCTCAGCCAAAATTGGAGGTCCTAATCAAACGATTTTTGATGAGTAATACTTCAAAAAACACTAAAACTCACTTACCTTTGTCGATAGGCTTTCCTGAGCCGTTAAAAACTCTTCCCAACATGTCTTCTGATACAGGGGTTCTCAAAATATCTCCGGTGAACTCACATAGTGTGTTTTTAGCGTCAATGCCTGATGTTCCTTCGAATACTTGAACGACAGCCTTGGAACCGCTGACTTCCAGAACTTGACCGGACCTAAGACTTCCATCGGCCAATTTCAGTTCGACGATTTCGTTGAATTTGGGAAATTTCACATCTTCGAGAATGACCAAGGGTCCATTCACACCGGACACCGTCTTGTAGGCTTTAAAAACGAAAGATATTGTAAAGGAGTGGCAGTCATATGTATGGTCACATGACACAAAACATCGATGTTTTTTTAACGAATATTACCCCGAAAAACTTAGTTTTTATAACAAATAAAACCGTCTAACGCATTATTACTCGATATTCGTCACTTATAAACGGCCTAAATAGCAAATTAAGGGTCCGCCCCAAATTTAAATGGAACTTTTTCGATCTTTCAAGTCTCGAGATCTAGCGATTAGAAAAACACCAAAAAATACTCACTCAATCTGGGCTGCGATACGAAATCTCTGGACACTGCGAGGACGTGTTCCCTGGTGGCCTGTTTGGCCGATAAACTCGAGGGGTAAGACATTTTAGACCCAAGTTTTTTACGTGTCTGCCAAACCAAAATCCACCATCGACTGACAAAAAACTTAATTTTCTGACACGTGACGTTTCAACTGACAGTTCTTGCGTAATTTGTCATGTGAGCTCTTGTAATTTCTGCAGTTTTCTATAACTGGGTCCATCTATCGGACAGTAGAAGAAGTAAAAAATCTTGGAAGGATTTCTATTTTATCGGCCTTATTTATTTTAATTTAAATATTTAAGAAAAATAACTTAAACTGTTTAGAAATAATTGAGAATTACAGGAAATACCGTAAATATTTGTGATTAATTAAATAATAATCATAAATAACATTTTACCACTGATATAATCCATAATCTGTAAACGTCAATCGAATCGCACGTACTTGTCAAAAATAATTTAAACCTGTGTACGGTTCATAATATTTTTAATTTTTTTTCAGCTAGTATCAATTTCCATCTAGCTTGTTACGGGTGGGATAAACCTTCAAATCAGTTCTACGTGTACGATTCATTTCCTGGCTGTATAAACCCCCAGAAAAACATGGCAGTAACATTAAGAAGTTTGTCCAACAAGATTGGAGCTAGGGCTTTGCCCCTGAAGGCAGTAGCGGCTCCCAGAACTTATTTTACGTACGTTAACGAACCCGCTCAACCCATTCAGGGAAAAGAACCCAAATGGGTGACCGCAGAGGAGGCTTTTCAAGATTTACAGTCAGGTATGTGAGCCATATCAAATATGGTATTTTATACATATTATTGACAATGAATTAATGCAACTTAAATGCACGCTAGTGAACTTTGGTCTTTGATATTGTACGTTCTTTCAATAATAAGCTTGTTATGACTGGTATGTGGTTTATCAAACGCTGAATTAATATGTCTAATTCAGTTTTTTTAACGTGGTAAATTTGTTATTCAAATATTTCTATTTTTGATTAAGTTCTCGAGTTTTTTCTGTTTGTTATTTTAATTAGGGACATCTCCAATCAGTTTTAAAATAATATTAAACATAGACTTGGCCTGTTTGATTATTTTTTCAGTTAAGAAACATATTTTTTATTGAATATTTTGAAATATTTCTGATAAAAAGTATTAAAGTATTTAATTCAGTAATAACTCATTTCTTTATCTTGTTTCTGTATCATGAGTGTTCTTTATTTGACTGGAAAATATTATATAATTAATTTGTAGAATTGATATAATTTATTTCTGTGTGAAATCTATTATTAGAAGAGATGTTTTTTTCAGTCAAGAATTGAAGCAAAGTGTTAGACTAATAAATATGGCTTATTTTTCATTAAATTAGCTATATTTTGAACATGAGTTTATTGGCACAGAACGTTCACATCCAGACTTTATCCTGATATTATTGGAATATTTAGATCAAATTCTATTTAATAGTCTATTTATAGGACCAAATTCTAAGAAAATTGTTTTATTTTCTTACATCTATTTATCAAACTCGTATAAAATGTACTTAATTATATGCTTGAGTGGTGTTTATTTGTAGTTTGTAATACAATTTTCTGTGAAATGATGAAATTTTTAAAATTTCTATAGAAATGTTTGGTTTATTTAAATAAATAATAAAGTTTCAGATGTAATAAATGCCTGATTTTTTTTTGGTGTATCTTTTTAGGCCAAACAGTTTTTTCTCAGGGGGCTGCGGCCACCCCTATAGCCCTGTTGACAGCTATGACAGAAGTGGGTAAAAAGAAAAACCTAAAAGACATTACAGTTTGTCATATGCACACGGAAGGTCCCGCAGCTTACACTGACCCTTCGTGTGAGGGTATTTTTAGGCAAGTCAAACTATAGAAAATATTTCTCCATTTCTTCTATTTTATGGAGTTATTATTTGTAGGTCTTGTTCGTTTTTTATGGGAGGCAATGTGAGGAAGGCTGTAGCTGATGGCAGGGGTGACGCTATTCCCATATTTTTGTCAGAAATCCCACTTCTGTTTTATAAACAAATTATCAAGCCTGACATAGCTGTTATTCAGGTAAAATTGTTTTTTTAAATAGATAAATAGTTTACATAAAATGATAATTTATCCCCAGAAACACGCCTATGTTTTTTTTTTAAATTTCTTGTATATTTTACAAAACTTTTTAGAGCTACAGATAGAAGTACTTATATTTAGCTATTTTAAATCACAACAGACTTAATGAAAAAATAATCCTTATTAGTTTGTAATAATAGTTATTCTTTTGCGATTGCAATTTTATGCTTGGAGTACATCAAAATACATTTAAATTATCTATCTAGCAACCATTGTCCGCATTGATATTTAAGTACATAAAGATAAGGTTGTTTAGAAAGCAAAAATAAAACATAAGACTATTTATTTAAAACAGTTTTATCAATTGTAAATAATTTACTACTTAGTATAGAGTCACTGTACGTTTTATGTGATAAAGAAATATAAAATAAAACTATGTCCCAGTTAATGAGATTTAAATACCATATACATTATCGAAAAAAAAAACGGCGTCAATGACTGGCTGGTGAATGACAATCGATGATAATTCTAGCGAGGTCAAGCCCTAGATGTTATTTACTTGACCTATACTACTCTTCTAAATTTCCTATAAGTAGTGTTAATTTTGACAAGTTTTATGTCAATTTTTAATGACGTATAGAGATTGACCTCGCCAAAATTATCAACGATTGTCATTTCCCAGCTGTCTTTGACGCCGTTTTTTTTTCGATTATGCGGTATTTATAAATATACAGGGTGTACAAATGAATAAATTTGAGAAAAAAAACGGCGAACCAATCAAAAAATATATATGAATATCCCTTCTTTTCTCAGAATAACAGTCTTGCCCTGAATTTTTTCGCACTATTCCATTTACACCCTGTATATCAAGTACCTTTTTTACCCTTAACTACGTCAGAGAATATATTATGTTGGCTACAAGTTTTTAATTTAAACTTTTCGTCTAGTTATAACGTGCAGTTCAATGTTGCCAGATTTTTTAATTTTTCCCCAAATCTACTGATTTTCGTTTTAGACATTAGAACCAGTAAAAATGATCGATTTTTTTAAAGATACATAATTATACCAGGTTTCGCCGCCAGATCAGCATGGTTACTGCAGTTTAGGTACCAGTGTCGATTGCGTCAGAGCCGGTATGACGCATTCAAAAATAATCGTAGGTAGGTGAGACTTTTTTTGAAAAAAGAAACACTTTTTTAGGCCATAATCTATTTTTTTCTATTTATTTTTTAGCTCAGGTGAATCCCAAGTTGCCTAGAACGTTCGGCGACGGTATTATCCACATCAGTCACATAGATTACGCTGTCAAAGTCGATACACCGTTGCCAGTTCACGGCGGCAAACCGCCCAGCGAAGTCGAAACGAAGATCGGCAAAAATATCGCCGAAAATTTGGTCGAAGATGGGGCAACGCTGCAAATGGGTAAGTAACACTTGACAACGCTGCAAATATAGCCCTTTTCCGGTTACTTTATTATAATATTTTTCACTCTAAGGCTCAGATTGATAGACGAAAAGGCTCCGGCGTTGCCAGATTTTTTTTTCATTAGAATTTTTCAATTGTAATATTATGTTTAATTCCTAGTCTGAAGTACAAATTGGCGAATTTAAAAAATGCGGTGTTGCGAGATTTATATTTTTTCAGTAGATTTACTGATTTTTTTTTAGATTTTAAAATCAGGTATTGGAACTATACCCAATACAATTCTTACTGATGTGGAAATCTGTTCTGAGATGTTCGCCAAAAATACAAATGCACCGACGTTGCCAGACTTGTAATTTTTCAATAGAATTGCCGAATTATAATATTATGTTTATTTTCTACTCTGAAGCTCAAATTGGCGAATTTAGAAAAAATTGCGGTGTTGCCAAACTTACATTTTTTCAGTAGATTTGCTGATTTTTTAAATATTTCAAAATTAGGTATTGGAAGCATACCCGATGCCGTTCTTACCGCTCTAACCAATCACAAGGATCTGGGAATCCATTCTGAGATGTTTGCCGGGGGCGTGATCGACCTGGTGAACAGGGGTTGCATAACCAACAACAGGAAGATCATTCACAAAGGCAGGATAGTGGGTTCTTTCCTTATTGGAACGCAGGCGCTGTATGACTTCGTTGATAATAATCCATTTATTGAGATGTTGGTGGTGGATTATGTGAATAATACCAGTAAGTTCATAAAGATAATTAAAGTATATTTTTTTCGTATTTCGCAAAATTCGCTCAATATAAATATAAGAAATAATTATACAAATCATATCCTTGAAAACAAACTAATATTGAATAGTTTTTAAATCTTCTTTCTCTTGCTAGGTATTATTGCAAGGAACCCAAGGATGACAGCCATCAATTCGTGCATAGAGGTAGATTTGACAGGACAGATAGTCTCAGACTCGATAGGTACAAGGATGTACTCAGGGTTCGGAGGTCAAGTTGACTTTTTACGAGGTGCTGCCGAAGGTTTTGACGGAAAAGGCAAGCCCATCATCGCTCTGCCCTCCACAACGAACAAGGGAGATACTAAGATAGTCCCAACGATCAAACAAGGTAGGTTTTTATCCTGTCAATTTTGTTACTTTCACTCTATATATTCTGTTCGACGAGAAAATCCTGGACAGTGATTGATGTGTCTGTCATTTTAATTTCAAACTAGTTTATTTTATTTTACAAAGAAATAAGTTGGTACAATTATTGTGTTTAATAAAACACTACATACAACAAATCTATAGGCTTAGTGCATTCCCCGCCGGCGCTGCCACCATCGGAGAACATCGTAAACAATTAGTACTTACCAATACACGGATTTAAATAGCGAGAATATGAAACATTTATTATTAAGTGTTAGGAAGTATAATTTGTGAAAATTCTAAAACTAAAAATAAAAAAGTAAATATTTTGATATCTGCAGAAGGTCTAACTTGTATTATAATTTATTATACTAGTTAAAAACTTTTTATATGAGTTCAATTACGGTAGCGAGCATAGTTTTAATCATCGGTTTTGCTAGTGGGGCATAATTGGGGCTATTTCGAAACGAAACTATAACGAATTTTTTTAAGGTACATAATTATAATTTTAGAAGATGTTCATAAAACATTTAGTCACTAGGTGATTAAAAAAGTATACCATTAATATTGCTAATTATATTTTATCCTCTCATAATATATGTCTATTCAATTTTTTGATTATGCAACGAGCACTTTGTTTACTCACTTGTTTCGTCGAACTGCTTGAATCCATTTTTGCTTTTGATCAAATCGGTGTGAGAAACTATGAAGTTATAAAACGTTGCTTCGGGAGAGTTGAATATCCGGGAAAGTTGAGTTATCGAATGTTATTGCACCCAACAACGCCCTAATTACGCTCTTCTTTACGCGTTAACATTTTTTCGGCAATTTTATTAACATTTGAAATTGTCACAACACAACACGACGCGACGCCTAGTTCGAATTCTTTTTCACTTATTTTTTACTACCCGAAACTGCTTTACATCATACAAACCTCGTGTACCTGAATGTTTTATAGCCTCAATAACTGCACTAGCAAAAAACTAAAATACTTAAATATTATGGCAAAACCACGATTTCAATATTATTTTAACGCGATCAACATATATGTACTGATAATTTCCGATTTTTGCTCTTGAAGCGTTATTTGTTGAAATCAAGCCTATAAAAAAGAACCATTTCTTACTTTCAATCTTCCTTCGAGAAACTTCCTGCATTTATTTTAAGCCGTTTTAAACAAATTCCTTTGATTTTAGGTGCCGGAGTTGTCACGACAAGGGCGCATGCTCACTACGTAGTGACAGAACACGGGATCGCCTACCTGTTCGGTAAATCGCTGAGACAGAGGGCTCACGCTCTGATAAATATCGCCCATACTGATCACAGGGAGGCTCTAGAAAAAGCAGCTTTCGACCGCTTGAAAGTGATGCCATCGCCTTAGATTTATAGACAGTAATAATTTATATAAGTTAAAAAACAGCGCGCGCACATACAAAATATTGTTATTATTTTTTATATAGGCCTACGAATTCTCTTGTAAAGTAATAAATATTGATAAGTATTAAACTTGTGTTTTTTTTATTCAGTAATTATTTTTAAGCTTAATAATTGGGTAAATTAATAAACTTTTGATTTCTAACCAGAATTTCCCTGGACGGATGATAATCAAAGAAAAAAAAAAGAGAAAATTAAATGTTTGTTAACTTTTTCTACTAATTGAAAATTACTACCCCTAATTTTGACGTTCTGAATGCTTACATTGAAGTTAGAGGAACAAAGTCCTACGTTAATTGAGACCAGTAATTTTTCCACTAATTTTGAGTGTCTGAATGAAACTTATCGAGCAAAAAGCTAAAAAACCTGATAAGTTAATTATTTAATGTATGAGTATTAAAAATAGTATTTTACCCCTTTCTTAGTTCTTTTATTTGAAGATATAGTCCAAAAATGAAGGTTATTAATAAAATAACAAATATTCTGTTATTTTTACAGTGTAAATCCACCCATGAATTTCCTTAATTTGGTGTTGTGTAAATACAACTTTGTGATAAGTGTTAACGTCAAAAACAGCTGTTCGAAGTGACAAGTTCCCAAAATGAGGTTATAAAAACAAAAATAATAAAAATACTACAGAAATATTTCAGATTTTATAAGTTTTTTTGAGTTTATTTTATAGTTTTAGTATTAACTGTTCTAAACTACGTAATATTAAACCAAAACAGTTCTTTTTTTCTTTTGAAAAGAATAATTTATATTAGTGTAGGCGTAATTTTATAATGAGATCTTTAAAAGTACAACAAAACAGCTACAAAAACTCCGAAAGCTGGACAGACGATCTACCGGTCTGCAAAAACACAGGAATAGGCTTTTCCACTAACCAAATTTACAGAGAAGATGGACATCCTCAAGAAGACCATGCTTACGAGGACTACAGTTGCCATTTCAAATTCAATGACGATTTCTACTGGTACGCTGTTTTCGACGGCCACGAAGGCAAAAGAGCCGCTGACTTCTGTTCGCAAAGAATGACAGCAGAGATATACTTCTCCCAGCTAACTGAAAAAGAATCTGATGAAGACGTAAAGGACATTTTAAGACAAGCGTTTTTAACTGTAGAAAAAGGGTATTTAGAGACATTAGGAGACACTTTAGCGGAAAGAACTAGCTTACAGTACGACTTACCTGAGGGTTTAAATTCCTACGAGGTGTATCAGAAAGTTCCTGAGGTGGTGGACAAAATAAATATGCTTAACTGTGAGCTAGCATCGGAACAGCAGCTGCAGTGGCTCTGGTATACAAAAACAAACTCTACGTGGCCAATGTGGGAACTGTAGGGTCCTACTATGCCAAACCGATGCAAATTCTGTGTTGAAAGTTGTTCAAATTAGTGTAGATCATGACTTACAGAACGAAGACGAACTTTTGAGGTTATCTCAGATCGGGATCAGCACAAAGTCTTTGAGAAACAGTATAAAAAAAACTTAAAAAGGTTTATTTTATATTGTATGTTGTCTTTTAGGTTCAAGATTAGGTAATCAGGAAAATACAAGGTGTCTAGGAAATTATTTGGTTAAAGGTGGTTATAAGGATTTCGAGGATTTGTACAAAGCAACTCAAGAGCCTGTGATTGCTGAGCCTGATATACATGGAGGTATTGTGATAGATGAGTCGTGTAGGTTTTTGCTTTTGATGACGGCAGGCTTGTATAAATCTTATGAGGAGTTTCTGGGTACTGAGCAAGTTAATAGAAATATCGCACAGTTTGTTGTTGATCAGGTGAATAAATAAATATATAAGAGAGTCATTAGAAGTTGGCAGAAGTAGGGCATCTTTGATGACCTACACGCCAATTTTACTGATATCTCTATAAGTAAAAAAGAAATTACTGGTTCTAATACAATTTTTCCCATGTAGTTCAGGGAACAGGCTACATTAACTGGAGTTGCTCAGGCTGTGGTAGACAAAATAGTGCGTCTCCATCACGACTGGTACATGTCCAACTCACTAAACCACAGTTGCACTCCAAAAAGAGAAGATATAACCCTAGTCTTACGTAATTTCAACTTCCCAATGCCGAACGCAATAAAATCACCCACAAATCCTACGGTTACCTTCAGCCCTCTGGTCATACAAAACGATTTCCCTGTGAGTAGTGCGACGACTTGTAACACGGAAACTACAAACAGCACCATTCGTACAAACACTACAAGTTCTTCAGATGCCAAGACTGAATCCGATGATGGAATTGGACCTGATGACAAAATAGCTGCCTACGTAGATTTTTCGGACTTTTATAGGAACTACGATGAGGCTAAAAGAAGGGGCACTTTACCTAAAGACTTTGATTTGTAACGTTCTTGTAAATTTGTTATTTTTATCTGTTAATTTCATTAATAAAAAATTTAATTTCAAAATAAAATTTTTTGTGGCTCTATCTATTGTGAAATCTTAACATTAGAAATACGTGGCGACATCTATGATAGAGTAGGGAAAGTTTACATGCTGCGCCATCTGTTATATAGTTGTATAACTACAAATACGTGTGGCGCCATCTATTACAGAATCTCTTTATTAACTACGTTTTGCGACATCTATGAGTTAATAGTTAAAGTTTTTTGTACAGTATCCTTTATCGTATAACAATTAGTCTGCTAAATTTAGCGGCATCTATTGTGGAAAATCTGTACTTATTATAACTTTAAATTTAAATTCATTAAAAATCTGCAAAAAATAATGAAACTTTTATTAGACTTGTTACATTTGCACATATTTTTTAAGAATCACTTAAGACCCAGTTTCTTTGCGGCTTTGTGGAGACTTTTCTTGGTCTGAAATAATGAAACATGTATTTTTTTCTGGAATATTAAAAAAATGATTACACTAGTCTGCAAAAACAAAACTTTTTACTTGAGCTTTGTCACTGGAATATCGGTTATTAAAATCTGTTAAAAAATGTGTTAAAGTTTGATGCCCTCTAACAGCCAAAAAAAAAGCATTTTTGTGCAGACCAGTGTGTAATTTGAATACCTTGGATAACTGAAGAGAAACAACATTGAAAACAAGTTTTCTGCGGTTTTTCTGAAACTCTCTAAGATCGTCTTCGACATTTTGACGTTCGATATATTCTAGCTTGTTGAGTTCGTCCAAAGTTTCTTCTAACCTTTCTGGCTGTCTATACGGGCGGTTTTTATAATTAAAAATATACCCTATTAATACTATTTTATGTATAACCCTTATAACTAAGAAAAAAAAACTACTTTTTATTTTTTTAATTAAATAAGGATTAAATGAAAAACAAAAAATCCGGCGACGACAGTTTTTAGAAGACCCAAATAGCTATCTTTTAGTAAAAAAACAAACTAAAGAAAACTTCTAGAGCAAGTCGTTACTTCAGTAGAGACGATACAGATAAACATTAGCATTTTATATATGTAGATATATGTTATTTTCTTCGGAACATATGCTATATCTTTTCGGAATAAGACAGAAGATAAAATTAAACTCAAAGAAATTAGAAGTTATCAGCTCTGTTATTATAACTTATTGATCTCCCTCGTAGATTTAAGCGTAAAAATGGCGAAGCTGGTTTGTTAAAATACTAAATACTTACGGGGCTCTGAGTATAGTGGAGTCTCTACAAAAAAAGCAAATTTATTAATAAAAATATTGTAAAAAATCTGTACTATACCTACCCTCTTATTGTTTGATCCAGGATATTGGTGATTGTCTCATCTGGGCTAAAAATATCAATTTACCGATTAAAACATATCTACAGGATCCGGCAATAGTTCTATAGGGTGACTCAAAAAAGTGTGATTGAATTGAGTAGGAACATTTTATAGGTGATTAACCTTCAACAATCAATATTATAATAATTCAATAATTTGCAGAATATTATATTGCATAAGATTCACCATTACAGTTCGAACCACCCTGTATAATATAGACAAATGCGGTTATTACTTGTATCCTCCTTGTCTGACGTGACCTGGAACTGTGGTGGGCATTCTAGGGGGGCTCCTGGGACGCGGAGCAGTGGGCATGGATCTAAAATAGTCCCAAAACACGTTAAAAATTATAAAAAATTGAGAGATTTATTTTTTTACAGTGGCAAAGGCCTGTCATATGGTGGTGGAGCTCTTGAGCCATAACTGCTCGCTCCCATACGAGGAACTCTTCTTGATGGTCCCCTACAATATATTTGACGTATAGTAATTAATTTTTACAAGTAGTAAATAATATAGAGAGAAAATACAGGGAAAAATATTGATTAGTTAATTTTAAGTCAGTTTTTTTTTTCATAAAGGAAAAATATTATTTATTTCCGTTTGTTATAAAATACTTCTTTATGTATAGTTTTCTCCATAATACTTAGAAAATATTTTGTTACTTACGGTCCACAATAACAATCGTCCATTTTGAGTTTTTCTTTTAAAAAACTAACCAGGACTTTACACTAAAATTTTGAGAAAGAGAGAATTTCTAAAATTAATTGCTATAAAATTTGTGACTTATTGGCTGAACATTTTTTGACAAGTTTTTGACGTTTTTTTTGGTGTTTTAATTATTGCAGGTATAAAATTTAAAATTTAATTAATACTACCTTTCAGTAGTAAATAAATAAATAAGAATTTTGGTAGAATTTGAGTTGATGTAGAATGTATTGTAGGAGGGTTAATCATCGCGAACTTACAGATCTATTTTGTGTCTTTCTTTCTTGAGTTATAACGAGTTATAACTCATCACACAGTCTTGGGACTTTGAAAAAAGCCAGTATCTAAGATGGTTTTACGTATAGGTTAGTACAAGTTAGATTTACTACCTTTAAACGACTACCAGCTGTAGAATAAATAAAAAATAACATAAACTAAGCTCAGTAAAGACTGACAAATCCACAAATTTTCAAATCAAATTCGAAGGTGTCAAATAAACCGTCAAACAGAAATTTGAAGAATCCCCACCCTATGGCTATGTATTTTTACAAAAATGAAGAAGGAAATTAAAGATAAAGGATTATACTATACCGTATTGTAGCACATTTTTAGACAACTTCTTTATTTTTAAGATTTTGATGGTCAAACATCAATAAAATATTCCTTATGTTTGGACTAAATTTTTTCGAAAATAAAGACATAATTTAAAATTCCGTTAGAATACGGAAATAGAATGAAGTTTTGTGATTACAGTGATATATAACTTATATGGGTTTGTAACAAATTGCTCCCTATTTTATGGCAAATGCTGAAGCTCTGCAAACCTTAATCAAGCCTTAATCAAAGCACGTGTGTTTGGAATTTTAGTAATTAACATCGAACTACAAATTACTTAATGTTAATAGTTAATTCTATCTGATATCCATATTTTTTAAATATGCTAGGCAAATTTTTACAATTATTTTTAATTAAACTTTAAAATGTATTCTGTCGTTATCATAAACAATACATTTTCTTAACTTGTCGATAAACGTATAGTTTTCAAATTTTTTAATATTTGGAAACTTTTTATCACAAGGTATATTATTACTAGTTGCTAAATACTCGCTAACGCAATTTTCGGACACGTTTTTTATTATCTAGATTTTATTTTGTTCATCTTATGCTGTAAGTTTATTTCATATTAATATTCGTGCTTTAGATCTAAATTTTAATGCTATTCAATTACTTTAACGCGATAAAAAGTTAATGTTATTTTTTAATACCTTTCTGTATAATATTTTTCATATTTATATCTGGCAAAACTATCAATAAATACTATTATTTATGCAAAAACTATATGCAGTGCCATATGGCACAATACAAAAGCCAGAACAGTGCGGTGACGTCACAGATCGATGTCTCTGGCCTGTATGTCATGTTGGTTATGATATTTCCTTCGGCCACATACCCGTTTTACCCGACCCCTGAGAGCGACCCGAACAGTACAGCTTAATAGACGACGATTGTATTCAAGTAAAATGCCCACTATTATCATATATACCGTATATTTATTTCTTGGTAACATATTGCATATCTTTGGCTTTTATCACAAACACTTATAGCCAAAATCCTCGTTTTTCTAATAGGTATGGCGACAAGGACGACAAGAGGATTGGCCTTCTCCACTAGATGAACCCCCACTCCAAGATCCCTCGGTACTGGAATAGTCATAGATGGACCTAGCCTCGTACGCAGGCGTGGGACTGCCCCATCTTTGTCTTCCTCCAGCTGCAGCCCCAGGTCTTTGCCCCTGGCCAGCTGCTGCAGCTGCACGACCTCCAGGACCCGCGGCCGTCTGTCTTCCTCTAGCAGCAAACGTCGAGCTAGCTGCCCCAGGTTGGAACGCGGAATAACTTTCATCTACGTCTTCATCGTAGCCGCCTCCGCAAGCTTCTCCATGGGAGGCTTCACACTCTGAAGAATCACCGGAAAAGTCCAGTCTTCTGGCGTAGGCGGGAGGATGGGTTATGTTGCGCCGCGGTGTCTCAGGCCCTAGAAAAATAGAAATAACGTTTTTAGGGTCCCGTACCAAACGGGTAAAGACTGGAACCCTATAACTAAGATTTCGCTGTCCGTCCGTCCGTCTGTCACAAAGGTCTATATTATGAACCGTTATAGCTAGATAGTTGAAATTTTTACAGATAATGTATCTATGTTGCCGCTATAAGAACAAATACTAAAAACAGAATTAAATAAATGTTTATAAATTAAAAAGTACTTTCACTAAACATTATCTTATAAGTAAGAATTTTACATATAGAATCTTTCAAGTCCTCGGTGGCCGCGTGGTTAAAACGTTAGGACTTTACGCTGCTATGACGTTGGAGCAGACGTAGTAAGGAGGTTCGAATCTTAGTCAAGGCGACTTTTTTTTAATCGTTTTTTTTAATTTTTCCATATTTTTACATATTTATTTTTACTTTTTACATATTTATTATTGATTAATACAATTTTTTGGAATGTGTTTCTTCATTTTTTTGACATGAATTGAACATTTTTGGTTGAAATTTGGGTTATAACGAAAATCGAAAACAAAAGTCGTTAGATAACTAGAATTAAATCGATTTGCTATTATTCAATTTTATACAATAACTAGCGTGTACCCGCGACTTCGTTCGCGTCGAATTAATCATTTGTAATGGTGATGATAAAGCAAAGCAAGAATTTCCATTAACATACAAACTGGATAAAATTTTCTCACATTTATGTCAGCACAAGAAAAAACAATATGGCGATATTATTATACAGGGTGTCTCATATTTTAATCGGGAAAATTTAATAGACGATAGAACTTGCAAAAATAAAACAAAAAGTTCATATCAACTTGTAAGATTTCAAGCTTCCTTTTCGATATACAGGGTGTTAAAATTACTTAAACAAGAAAAAAAATTAAGATATTTGAAAAACTATTTAATCGATTTTACTATGGGACTTAATTTGATGTGATTAAATTTTAGTTTAATGGCCAAGGGCGGCGGTGGGGCATCACTGTTAAATTATTTTAAAGGAAAAAATAGGCACGCCACTGCTTTTTTAGAAGTTTAATATTATTTTTGGATTTAGTAATTAAAAATATTATTTTTTTGTCCCCTGACTTTTTGTCTATCTTGCTTACTTCTTGCGGAAAAAAATAAATTCTAATTGGTAATTAATGTTATAATTGGTATTCTAATGGTACCCTGTATCTCGAAAAGGAAGCTTTAAATCTTACAAGTTGATATGAACTTTTTGTTTTATTTTTGCAAGTTCTATCGTCTATTAAATTTACCCGATTAAAATCTGAGACACCCTGTATAACTTGGTAATATTTGAGGGGTAGTTTCATCTCGTTGGAATTTGACTTTCGAAAAATCCGTTTGCCAAAAATAAGCTTTTTACGTCAAGCAGTTTAAGCAGAATCGGGGTTAAGAAATTACCCAACTTTTTGGAACACCCTGTATGATTTTTTAAAAAATTTCAAAATATGTAAAAAAACCAAATAAATTAATTATGCTTGTCCAAGCGCTTTCTCGAAAGACTAACCGTTTTTTAAATAACAAATATTATAATATTTGAGGGGCGTTTTCACCCTCTTGGAATTTGAGATTCGAGAAACCCCTCCTTATCGAATCTCTACACCCCACAGTCAATCCGTTTCCCAAAAATTAGCTTTAAACGTCAAGCAGTTTAAGCAGAATCGTGATTACTCAATGGTCATATTTTATGAAACACCCTGTATAAATTTATAAAAAATCTTAAAATATGTAAAACAACAAAATAAAATATACGAGTTTAAGAGTTTTTCCGAAAAACTTACCGGTTTTTAAATAAAAAATATTTTAATTTTCGAGGGATAGTTTCCCCCCCCCCTTAGAATTCGAGTTTCGAAAAATCCCTTCTTATCGAACCTCTACACCCTAAAGTCGACCAGATTTTTCGAAACACCCTGTATACATTTTTAAAAAATCTTAAAATATGTAAAAAAACAAAATAAAATATACGTGTTTAAGCGTTTTTTCGGAAACTTGACCGTTTTTTAAATAAAAAATATTGTAATATTTGAGGGGTGGTTTCACCCTCTTGGAACTGGAATTTTGAAAAATCCCTTCTTGTCGAACCTCTACACCCTAGAATCAACCTGTATGCCAAAATTGAGCGTCTTACGTTGAGTGGTTTGAGCAGGATCGTGATTAATCAGTATGTCAGTCACTTAAGGATTTTATATATTAGTATAGATTCAAAGTTTATGAATTATTACTACACACCCATCGTGCAAAAGCTTTATAACCATCTATTAATATTCACAAACGTTTTGCGCGCTGAGCGTGTACGCGCCTTTATTAGAGCATTAAAATAACCTGGAGGCGTGAGTCCCATCATCTCGTACGAGTCCATGTATCTACTCCCGTATCCTCCTTGCACTTCCATGTCGTCCGGGGGAGTCCTTTCTGAGGGCTGCGCGGGGTAGCTGTCGTCCAGACAAGCCGCGCCACCCCCTAGGCACATGGCAGACGCGGTGGTGAAGGTGCCGTCTGCACGTGGTCCAGCCCTATAACCAGTCACGGGGGGGTAGGTCATGACAAAAAGTCCTCCAGGTCCACCTCCTTCGGATGCGTCAGTGTAGGTGCTGTTCAGACAGGACGCGCCGTCGTCTACGCACGCGTCAGATCTCTGTCCTCCACTAGCAGCAGAAGAAGCGGCGCTGGGAGAATAACCATAGATCGAAGCTGCCTCGAATGCAGGCGTCGGGCTTCCCCATTTTCGTCTTCCTCCGGCTGCTTTTTGTCCAGCACCAGCTGCAGGTGCTTGTCTTCCTCTAGCACCAGCCATCGCGTTACTAGGCCCAGGTCGAGGCATCGAAGGGAAGCTTTCTTCTACGTCTCCGGCGTACCCGCTTTCACAGACTTCTCCCTGGGAGGCTTCGCATGCTGATGAATCGTTGGAGAAGTTCAGTCTTCTGGCGTAGGCGGGAGGATAGGTTATGTTACCTCGAGGCGTATCGGGAGCTAAACAAAATGAAATAACGTTAATAGGTATTAATTTACTGGATAAAATGTATCGGGGGATTAACGCTATAGTCTGTGAAACGAATAACTTTGAATTTGACAGTTCTCGCGGGCTTTTCTAGTGTTAATTTTATTAGGTTAGCAACTTGCGGCTATGCTGACGCAATGCCGTCTCTAATAGAATAGCCTCGGAGCGAGATTTATGACGTCACGCTAGTTAGATACTACAGATTAATAAATATGTTGTAGAATACATAGAAAACATAATTATTATTCCTAGTATTTTTGGTTTGTATTATAAAAATGATATAGTTTACATGAAATATACAGTTAATAAATACAATATATATACCAATTTATAGTTATAAATACTTTGGCAAATAAACTGTGAACCATACAAATGCAGCAAATGTTTTACAATATGGCTGAAATCGTACTTCATAGTCAAAGTAGATAGTTTTAGTGTTAAGAATAATAAAATTTTAAAATATATGTGGTCATCTTTTAACAAGTTTATATTAGTTTATTAATTGTAGTAAACATTATGTAGTGTGTGGTGTGAATATTTTATATGTAATTTTTTGGACTATATTCGACACTATTTTTTTCATATGACACAACACTGATGAAGGCTATAATGTTATCCGAAACGTTTTATTTAAACCAAATAAAAATAATGAAAAACCAAATGAAAACTTGATCAGCGTTTTTTCCGAACCTAAATCCCAAGAAAATCAAAAATTTTAGAATAATTTTACATATAAAATGACAGCGATCTTTATTTCATAGCCATCGCTGACGCATTTTTTTTATGATAGTGTATTATTTGCAAATATAATTTTTCGAACATTAATAACAATACATCACTATTAGTAGATAATAATGTTTTTTTGTTAAATTAGATCGATTTTCAAACCCCAAATTGCATTTGTTTGGTTCATAGTTTATTTGCCAAAGTATTTATTACTCTAAATTAGTATATAAATATTGTATTTATTAACTGTATATTATGTATATTTCATGTAAACTATATCATTTTTAAAATACAAACCAAAAATACGAGGAATAATTATATTTTCCATGTATTCTACAACATATTTATTAATCCGTGGTATCTAACTAGCGTGACGTCATAAATCTCGCTCCGAGGCTGTCCTATTAGAGACGGCATTGGTCTGATATTTAGAAATGTCAAAAGTTGATGACATTTTACTTTTGACAATTATAACATTTCGTCTTGACTTTGAATCGTCTTGATAAGAACTGTCACTTGTTTTATTATTTTCCTTTTCTATTTCACAAAAGTAAAAAGAGTTACCTATCTGACTCGTTCAGGCACTCAATTTAAAGAATATCAGTAACTTTTTTGACAGAGGGATTTTATATTTGCAATGTTGGTAAAAAATAACGGTCAAAATTCAAAGTTATTCATTTAAAGACTATATGTATGATCCTATATGATCGAATAAAAACGGCGTCAGCGATGGCTATGAAATGAACATCGATGACATTTTCCATATAAAATGACAGCGATCTTCATTTCATAGCCACAGAAGAAGAAATAACGTTATTATAATTACAATAAAGTTATTCCTTCTTCTGTGTCCTGTTTCATAGGCCATCGCTGACGCCGTTTTTATTCGATCATACGGTATTACCCTAGATCATATTATATACTTACGTGGATAAATCAACGCCATAAGATTAGCGTTAAAAAATATGTCTCCAGCATCACGACATGCCATTTTCAAACCTTCTTTATTGCCCTTATGAAACTTTCGATAGGTTTGTCTTTCTCGAGGACCTTACTTTACGCAAGCGCATTAAAAGTTACACGTATTTCCAAAATAAGCACAATTTTATACGCTTTAGAAAGTACAAATTATACAATATTATGGAAAGCAACTTTTCATTGTCATCATATTGTATGTCTCTTTTATGGACAGTTTTTATATAGCCAAGGATGCAAGTGTGTTCAGTGAGAAGTTAATTTTAAGTTTATACAACTATATTTTGATTTTTTTTTCGTTGGACTTTCTAAACACTCGTAAAAATGACCATTCCATAGTGATTTACTTATCCACGTAAGTATATAATATGATCTAGGATTAAAATAACCTGCAGGCGTGAGTCCCATCATCTCCCACGAGTCCATGTGCCTGTCGGGGTACATTCTAGGCACTGCCGTGTCAAACCGAGGATAGTCCAGGTAGTTTGGAGGAGTCCTGATCGAGGGATGAGCCGTGTAGGTGCTGTCTAAACGTCCTCCAGCTCCACCTCCAGCTGTAGCGTCGTAGGTTCTATCTAAACGTCTTCCACCTCCAGCTCCAGCGGAGTAGCTGTCGTCAAGACAAGTTGCGCCGGCCCCTAAGCAGATGGCAGACGCGGTGGTGAAGGAATTGTCTGAACGTGCTCCAGCTCTAGCACCAGCTGCAGGGGGGTAGGTTCTGTTTAAACGTCCTCCAGCTGCGGGAGTTCTCTGTCTTCTACTAGCAGCAGAAGATGCTTCTGGAGAATAATCGTCGTACGAAGCTGCCTCAAATATAGGCATCGGACTCCAGTTCTCCTCCTGTCTTCCTCCAGCACCAAACATTGCGTTACTCGGTCCAGCTTGGGACACCGAAGGGAAGCTTTCTTCAACATCTCCAGAGTACCCGTCTTCGCAAACTCCTCCCTGGGAAGCTTCACACGCCGAAGAATCGCTGGAAAAGTTCAGTCTTCTTCCTCGAACTTCCTGTCGAGGTCCAGGAGAAGGCGACCTCGTTCTCGATCGCTGCGCTCCAAAGATCGGATCGGTCTCGCTGCTCCAATCGGACGAAACGTCTTGGGGACTGGACCTGGACACCCCGCTCAGTCCTGGAGACCGGCCCACCCTAATGCTGTCAAAAATCTCTTTCCGAGCTGTCGTTTGACCGGTGGAGAGATGTGAGCTATCCATGTAGGGTCTGAACCAGCCCATGCTGCTGTCTTGGTCGCCGCTGTGGGGAGATCTGCTACTCGATGGGCAGGTTCTGGTCACGTTGAGGTTGGATGGACCCTGGCTAGGGGAGAAGGGTCGCGGGGGAGTGTCCGAGGTGTCGGAGAAATCGAGTTTTCTGGCGTAGCGAGGTGGATGGGTTTTGTTGCCTCGCGGCGTATCTGGTCCTAGAAATTTAGAAATAACCTTTTTTAATATCAAATCGCTGGATGGAATGAGGGGATCTAGAGGTGTCCAACTAGTTCCCGGTTTCTCAAAGAACTACTTCCTCAGTTTGGTTTGGAATTAGTTTACGTACGGATTGGCCAGCGCGATCGTAGCCCGATGCTAGGCAGGAGTGCCAGCCGTATGTTATTTGTCTCGAACCGAAAGGACCGAGAGGAACTAATTAAAATACTATTTCACGGGAATCTATTCAGTCGGCAGATCCGAGGTATAATACAAGGCGACGACGATGGATTCGGCCTTGTCTATTGCCACAGCTGGCGTAATTTGTTTGTTCTTTGAATATTTTATGGGAATGTTTCACTTTAGGTTTCTAAAATTAAGAAATATGTTTTAAAATGAAGTAGATATTCTGAATTTTTAGACAAAAACAAAAAGTGATGACAAATGCAATTTTTCGTAGCTATATATTTTTAACATAGGCAATTACATGTCTCATTATATATCATACATTATAAAAATTATACAGATCATACTGTGAATAGTTCTGACTGACACCGAAACCCATTAGCAAGCAACGGGGATGTCAATGTTAGCCGGGAACTATTGTGAACTAAAGACCCAGTTCAAGGAACTATTCCTCTGGAAGAATAGAACTAAGGAACTAGTTCCTCCCAAGGAACTAGAATTCCCACCTCTAGCGTATATGCGCCTTTAGAGTATTAAAATCACCTGGAGGCGTGAGTCCCATCATCTCCCACGAGTCCATGTGTCTGTCCGGGTACATTCTAGCCACTGCCGTGTCAAACCGAGGATAGTCCAGGTAGTTTGGAGGAGTCCTGATCGAGGGATGAGCTGTGTAGGTGCTGTCCAAACGTCGTCCAGCTGTAGCGTCGTAGGTCCTGTCTAAACGTCCTCCAGATCCACCTCCAGCTCCAGCGGAGTAGCTATCGTCCAGACAAGTTGCGCCGGCCCCCAAGCAGATGGCAGACGCGGTGGTGAAGGAATTGTCTGAACGTGCTCCAGCTCTAACACCAGCTACAGGGGGGTAGGTTCTGTTTAAACGTCCACCAGCTGCGGGAGTTCTCTGTCTTCTACTAGCAGCAGAAGATGCTTCTGTAGAATAATCATCGTACGAAGCTGCCTCAAATATAGGCATCGGACTCCAGTTCTCTTCCTGTCTTCCTCCAGCACCAAACATTGCGTTACTCGGTCCAGGTTGTGAAGACACCGAAGGGAAGCTTTCTTCAACATCTCCAGAGTACCCGCTTTCACAAACACCTCCCCGGGAGGCTTCACACGCCGAAGAATCGCTGGAAAAGTTCAGTCTTCTTCCTCGAACTTCCTGTCGAGGTCCAGGAGAAGGCGATCTCGTTCTCGACCGCTGCTGCGCTCCAAAGATCGGATCCGTCTCGCTGCTCCAATCGTACGAGACGTCTTCGGGACTGGAACTGGACACTGCGCTCAGTCCTGGAGACCGGCCCACCCTGATGCTGTCAAAGATCTCTTTTCGAGCTGTCGTTTGACCGGTGGAGAGATGTGAGCTGTCCATGTAGGGTCTGAACCAGCGCATGCTGCTGTCTTGGTCGCCGCTGTGCGGGGATGCTCTACTGAGGTTGGATGAACCCTGGCTGGGGGAGAAAGGTCGCGGTGGTGTGTCTGAGGTGTCGGAGAAATCGAGTCTTCTGGCGTAGCGGGGAGGATGAGTTTTGTTGCCTCGCGGCGTGTCGGGACCTAGAAATTTAGAAATAACCTTTTTTAATATCAAATCAATGGATATAATGAGGAGATCTAGAGGTGTCCAACTAGTTTCCGGTTTCTCAAAGAACTAGTTTCTCAGGACCTATTCCGGGATCGAGACTGTGACCGAAATACAAGACTAGTTTACGTACGGATCGGCCAGCGCGATTGTAGCCCGATGCTAGGCGAGAGTGCCAGCCGTATGTTAGTTGACCTGGACCGAAAGGACTAAGAGGAACTAGTTAAAAGACTATTTCACGGAAATCTATTCAGTCGGCAGATCCGAGATATAATACAAGGCGACGACGATTCGGCCTTGTCTATTGCCACAGCCGACCTAATTACCACCAAAAACTGTCGTTGATTTTTAGGTTGTTCTTTTAATATTTTATGGGAATGTTTCACTTTAGGTCCCTAAAATTAAGAAATATCTTATAAAACGAAGTAGATATTCTGAATTTTTAGACAAAAACAAAAAGCTCGAAGTGATAAAAAATGCAATTTTTCGTAAAATTTTCGTATTATTTGCTCCAATTGATTTGTGATATAGTTTTCGAACTCTGATTTGAATTTCTTTTTTAATTTTTTTATATTATAAAAATTATACAGATCATACTGTCAATAGTTCTGACTGACAACGAAACCCATTAGCAAGCAACGGGTATGTCAACGATAGTCGGGAATTATTGTGAACTAAAGACCTATTCTTAAGGAACTATTCCTCTGGAGGAACTAGTTCCTCCCAACGAACTAGAATTCCCATCTCTAGCGTGTACGCGCCTTTAGAGTATTAATATCACCTGGAGGCGTGAGTCCCATCATCTCCCACGAGTCCATGTGTCTGTCCGGATACATTCTAGCCACTGCCGTGTCGAACGGAGGATAGTCCAGGTAATTTGGAGGCGTCCTGATCGAGGGATGAGCCGTGTAGGTGCTGTCCAGACATGTTGCGCCTTCCCCTGCGCAAGGGCCAGCTGCAGCGGTGTAGGTACGGTCTAAACGTCTTCCAGATCCATTTCCTGCTGTAGCGTTGTAAGTTCTGTCGAAACTTCGTCCAGATCTAACTGTGTAGGTGCCGTCTAAACGTCCTCCAGGTTCACTTCCTGCTGTTCTGTCGAAACTTCTTCCAGGTCCACCTACACCTGCAACGGTGAAGGTTAGAGGTGTGTAGTTTGTGAACGAACTCGTTCCAATGAACTATTCCAACCTATTCAGGGCGTATTTCGGGATCTAGACTGTGAGCGATATAAATAATAATATGCGACGGCAACAGATCGGCCAGCGCGATCGTAGCCCGATGCTTGGCGCGAGTGGAGAGTGCCAGCCGTATGTTACCTGTCCCGGACCGAAAGAACTAAGAGGAACTAGAGGAACTAATTAAAAGACTAGTTATATTTTGTACATTATAAAAATTATACAGATTATACTGTGAATAGTTTTGACTGACAACAAAATCCAAAGGGGATGTTAATGTTAGTCGGAAACTATTGTGAACTAAAGACCTAGTTCAAGGAACTATTCCTCTGGAGGAACTAGAACTAAGGAACTAGTTCCTCCCAAGGAACTAGAAATCCCACCTCTAGTGTAGGTTCTGTCTAATCGTCCTCCAGGTCCACTTCCTGCTGTGGCGTTGCAGGTTCTGTCGAAACTTCTTCCAGATCCAACAGTATAGGTCCTGTCTAAACGTTCTCCAGGTCCACTCCCTGCTGTAGCGTTGTAGGTCCTGTCAAAACTTCTTCCAGGTCCACCTCCTGCTGCAACTGTGTAGGTTCTGTCTAAACGTCCTCCAGGTCCACCTCCTGCTGTAGCGGTATAGGTTCTGTCCAACGCGCCGGATGGACGTCCTCCTGCAACGGTGTAGGTGCGATCTAAGCGTCCTCCAGGTCCCCCTCTAGCTCCAACGTTGTAGGTTTCGTCTAGACGTGCTCTTTGGGCAGTTCCTCCGGCTGCCGCTCTGGGACCTGCATTATATTGTCTATACTTCATGAAAAATATCGAGTCTATTTTAAAAAACTCAAAATTTAAGTGAGGATGCACTATCAATAATCACCACATAGGCTAATATAAAACTACTAGATAAGATTCTTACTTGGCTTCTCTTTGTCTTGCTAAACCTGGACCACAGTTCCAGGGGGGTATTCTAGAGGGTGGAGCAGTAGGTCTGGATCTAAAATATCCCCAAAAAGCATTGAGAAACGGTTTAAAATTCAGATATTTTGATTTCTTACACCATCGGCCTATCATATGGCACTGGAGGTCTTTGGTGATGACCTCTTGATCTTCTATGATGATGCCTTCTGGATTGTCTTTGTCCTCCGCTAAAACAGTCATTAAAACATCTGTTATACAGAGTGTTTCAGAAATAAGTAAAGAAGAAGCACCCTGTATACTCTACTACTAATAATTTTAAAATGTGTATCTTAATCTTCCCTATAACTTTTATATTTAACATTTTTTTTTGTCAACCTGGAAACAAATGAGATAATGGACTTTACTCTATCGTTGACTCAACCTCTACATGATTACAGAAGATTTGTAATAAACTTGCAAAAATCTTAATCATAGATAAAAGAAAATAATCTACTATTATCTTAATCAAGTTAAATGAATGTCATCCCGTTTAATATAAAACAGTGATATAAGAAATCTTATATTTTTATTAATAATCTTTATGTGGTATATCATCCTAAGTTAGGAATATCATTCCTAAGTTAGGAATGGGATTCCTATGTTAGTAAATGAACTATGACAACAAAAACTGCTTCCGAAATAATTTTCTTCTATATAATAAAATAATACTTAGTTACTATAAATAGATGCTATAAAATGCTTACAAAATATCTAGTTACTTACGGTGCACAGCCACAGTCACCCATTTTGAGTTTTTCTTTGAAAAATTACTTTACACTAAAATTTCGGAAAACTTTACACTAAAATTTTGAGAAAAAAAAATCTAAATATGATTTCTCTGAAATTTCGAAATTTGTGACTTGTGGATTTTTTACATTTTTTGACAAGTTTTTGACGGATTTTTTGGTACTTTATTTATTGTAGGTAGGAAATTTAAAGTTTTGTCAATACTACCTTTCAGTAGTAAGTAAATAAATAAAACTTTTTAGTAGATTTATTATTTTAGTCAGGTCTATTACACATAAAGGGTATTTTACTAGCTAGATGGAAATTAATCAAGATAGGGAGTTATGGAAGCTATCGAGGGAGGCCTACGTCTAGCAGTGGACTTTATTAGGTAATCCAAAGGATAAAACACCTTCACTGGAAAGGTCGGGTATTTATGAAATTTTTTGTAAAGATTGTAATCAGAAATATGTTGGGCAAACTAGAAGATCAATATTAACTAGATTTAAAGAACATTTAGCTCAGATAAGATATGGTAGACCGGATAAATCTTGCGTTGCTGAACATATTGTTGATAAAGAACATTGTATAGATCTTAATAATTTAAAATTTATTAAACAAGTCTCAAATTACAGGCTGTCCAATTCCTTCAAGTTCTTTGTTCCTACTACTCTAGTGGCGGAAATCTAACTGTTACGCTCGGTGGGCTCTGACTCGGTTGGCAAGATCTTGCCACGCCCACTCGGTACCCATTGAGCGAGTATATAAACGCTCAAATTGTACTTTTTAGGTTAGTCTTAATCATCTCCTGATGATTAAATAACAACACTATAGCTGGCAGGCTCTATCATTAAAATAAGAAAGAAACAATCATCATTATATCATATCATTTATTTATCTTTTTGTTACATATTAATGAATATCTTTGGCATTTATTATCACAGATTATTATGCTGAAACACTTATTGCTGAAACTCCCATTCTTTTACTCGGCGAAATCGATTTGCATGTTTCAGTTGCAAAAACACGACGATTCGTCAGCTTCGTAACCAGCAGAAGAACCTTCACGCCTAGATCTCGCGCTGTTAGAATCGTACGACCTTAGCCTCGTGCTAGCTGCTCCAGGTTGGAAGAAGGAAGGAGGGCTATCTGAAACCCCTGCACATCCACCTCCACATCCTCCTCTTCGTCCAGCACGAGCTCCAGCACCTGAAGTTCTCTGTCTTCCTCCAGCAGCAACCCCTGGACATCCACGTCCACATCCTCCCCCTCTGGCTTCACGTCTAGGTCTAGGCGAAGGAGATCTCTGCTCCCTAAGCCTCGTGCTAGTCGCCCTAGGTTGGAACATCGAAGGCAAGCTTTCTTCTGCACATATACCTTCAACGCAGGCTCCTGCTCCGGCTCCTGAAGAATCGCTGGTGAAGTTCAATCGTCTTCCAGGAACATCTTGTCTAGGTCCCGGAGAAGGAGACCTGGGTATCGACCTCTGGGGTCCAAAGATCGGATCGGACTCGCTGCTCCAGTCGTACGAGACGTCTTGGGGACTGGACCTGGACACTCCGCTTGGTCCTGGAGACCGACCTACTCTGATGCTGTCGAAGATCTCTCTGCGAGCTCCTGTACGACCGGTAGCCTGGTTCGTGCTGGTCATGTAGGGCCTGAACCAGTCCACGCTGCTGTCTTGGTCGCTGGAGGCGGAGCCCGCTCCTGGGCAGGTTCTGTTCACGTTGAAGTTGTAGGGATGCGGGCTAGGGGAGAACGGTCGCGGGGGAGAGTCCTGAGTGTCGGAGAAATCGAGTTTTCTGGCGTAGCGTGGAGGATGGGTTTTGTTGCCTCGCGGCGTATCCGGTCCTAGAAAAATAAAAATAATCTGTTTTAGTATCGATCTGCGATAGAATCTTAGATCTTATAAACTTGGGATAAGGAAATTCGCTTCATATTTGTTGAAGACACGTCAGCGATATTCGACTCTCTGATTATCTTTGTCTTTGACACTGATTGACCAATCGTCTGTCTTTTTTTGGGCATATGTCACTTTTATCTCATAAATTAGAAAATATAATAGTTATTTTTTATACAAGACGATAAAATGGTATTTTATCGTCGACCGAAAAAATTAATTTCGGAAGACGATAATGCAATTTTATCGTCGTGTATAAAACAATATTTTTTTCCATACAGTTACGTTTTAAAAAATATTCAGAAATTATTATTTCAAGGAATTTATTACGAGAAGAAAAAAAATTGTCCTGGGTTGGTGTTGGTTTCTATGTAATTTGACAAATAAATAAAGCTGTCTCTTTAGTTGTCAGTTTTGAGTCAATATTTAGAATACAAGGTATGATATTGCGCAAGTTGGTCACTACGTCACAGGTCATAAACGGCACCATTGGTCGGCAAGCATCGCGCGCCAATTTCAAATTGTCAAACAGATGACACAATAAATGTGAAAATAATTTTTCAAATATCAAGCTCGATGATTTGACATCACTTTTGGGGTTATGTCCTAATCCTTTCCTATTTTAGGTCTTTTTTATTAGTGGCAATTGAACAATATGGATATTTTTTATGGCGTGTGACGTCCCAGGTGGTATGCGCAAACTTAACGAAATTGGAACCGCTATCGATCATACCTTGTTTTCTTTGTACCATGGCTCAAAACGAAATAAGTACCAACAGATATTTAGGCTGAGGCGACAAATGCCATATCCAAACTACTTTAGTACCATTTAAATCCCGAATAACTTATGACAAGGAATACAAAAATTTTCAAAAATGGAAGCAATTAAAAAACGTGCGAAAAGAAATAAAGCCTTTAACCTATCCTCGCTGTTAAGGTATCATTTAATCTACCCTTGCGGTTTAAGTACTATTTTATCTACTATTTTTGATAGATCTAAGGCAATTTTAACAGTTGTTTTGCTATGAAAAAAATGACACAAATCTATCTGTTTCCTTGGTTACTGGTTATATGTGTTAACCAATCATCATAGCTATTTTTAAAGTAGTTCAATTTTTGTTTAAAATTTATATAAAAAGTATATTGAAATAATATGACAAATATTTTCAAAATAATAAATACACGTATCAATTATATCTTGATTAAAATTTTTTAGTAGTCTATATTTTTAGTAAGCGAAAAAAAGCTCCAAGTTAGCACTCACGTCTAATATCGTTCTGCGCATGATCAGTAGTATATTCAGAGGGAAGGGTAGATTTATACGATAATCTTGTTCTAGAAAGAAATAGATAGAAAAATGCATGTGAAAGTCCCATAAAGAAAGTTGTGTGTAATATACAAATGGCAATGGCTGTATCCACGACGTTTATAAGATCTAAGATCTACACACACATTATGCATGTTTGTTAACGGTTAATGTAGAAGATTAAAATAACCTGGAGGCGTGAGTCCCATCATCTCCCACGAGTCCATGTGTCTATCCGGGTACATTCTAGCCACTGCCGTGTCGAATGGAGGGTAGTCCAGGAAATTTGGAGGAGTCCTCATGGAGGGATGAGCCGTGTAGGTACCGTCTAAACGTCCTCCAGCTCCACCACCTGCTGTACCGCCTGAACAGTCCGCGTCGCAGACTCCACCGGTATAGGTTGCGTCTGGACGTCCTCCAGCTGCAGCGGTATAGGTTGCGTTTGGATGTCCTCCAGCTGCGGCGGTATAGGTTGCGTTTGGATGTCCTCCAGCTGCGGCGGTATAGGTTGCGTTTGGATGTCCTCCAGCTGCGGCGGTATAGGTTGCGTTTGGATGTCCTCCAGCTGC